GTGTGAATGAAATTTCGGAATTAATTACAAGCACAAATCGAGCATAAAACGCAACTACCTTCAAGAATCCCACAATCAACACCCCAAATTCCCGCCCCGCCGCCCGCCCTCTCGCCGCCCCATTTCGCCCATTCACCGTCCGCCGATGCCGAATATCGAAGGTGTTTGGAACACTGACCCTCTTCCACCGTTTTATTTTTAGCCGGTTGCATGCACGCCACCGCCGCTGCCGTCGCCAGCGAACAGCAGCGAAACCCGATGACACCGTTGTATCGCGGCTAATTGCGACGTTGTCGTAGCATGCATCCGCGCGAAAATCAATAGATCGACACGCGACATCGGCAGATGCGATCATCCCCGGCGGGATCGCACCGCATCCATTTTCCCCATGATGTCCGTCGGTCGTGCCGTTAATGACGCGCTGATGCCATTAGGATTCTGCGACGGCGGCGACGATGCGCCGAATCCTGCCCGTGCTGTCGCAGGTATGCGTAGATGCGATCCTGCTAGCAGGACGGCAGAAAATCCGCGGAGGTCGCCGAGACGTTCGCGCTATGACAAGAGGAGGTGTTTGGAGTGTGCCGCGCGGGCGGCGGGGGGCGGCGATCGCGGGTTATCAGGCGGCGGCGCGGGGAAAACGGATAGAGGAGCATGAGGTTGGGGGAGGTGTCGAAGGGCGGATGGGGGATTGGTAACAGGAAGGACGTCGAGGAGTTAACTGTTTCTTGGGCTAATTGGCGTTTGGGAAAAAATTGTAATTATAATTAGTAGGAAGGTGGTAATTGGACTTTTTTCGGTTTTTTTTTTTCGGTGGCGCCAGGTGAAGAGGTGTCGGCATTTAACGGTTTTAATTGGCGGTGTGACCTTTGAAAGGATTCCTTATGTAAATGCGTATATTATTTCGATGTTGTGTTATAATAAAATAAAAATAATATAAAAAAAATAAGGAACATAAGGTCTGTTTATAGACAGACAAAAACATTTCGCCGAATTTTTTTTATTCGTTCAATTTTGATGTTATCGTGTGAGCTTGGACGCTCATTTTGTAGGCACGTGATCACTCCATCTCTCCGGTAAACGAACTTATAACATTTAGGGCCGGTTTATAGAACAGCGAGTTAAATATTTAATCCTCGATTAGTTTAACAGAGAATTAAAATGTGGAATATGAGCCCGTGATTGGTTGAAACATGCACGTTTCCTAGCAACGGGCCTCAGTTAAAAGTTAATCGCGAATTAACTTTAACTTCGCTTTCTATAAATCGGGTCCTAGTTACACATCTGAGGTCTCGGATTTATTTATCTTGATTCGTAATTTGAGAGTTGAAATAAACAGCTTAACCTTATTTCGCACCGGTCGAAAAACTACGCGGAGTCCTTGTGGAAATAAATTAACACAAAACCACATTTAAACCGTTAAAAATTCACCGATTTTGTTCAATAATCGGGTTTTCTGAACATTTTGCTTGTTTTTACTTCACGAGTGTATGCTAAAGTATTAAAATAGTAAATTTGTTTTTATTTTTGGAAAAAAAATGCAAATTGTATAACAACATTTAACTTTGAAAGTGCAAAACCGAATGCCTTGAAATCTTGGAAACGTTTTAAGGTTATCGTAAGCATGGTAAATCGTTAATCAAAATTTATTTGTTTATCTCCTTCCAAAAACTTGATGACGTCATCTCAAAATTTTGCTAAAGAAATCCTCCTTAAAATATGCAAAATATGTATTATGACTATACTTGTGGTTTAGTAATGCACTCATAGTTTTTACAATTACTTACACAGGATGATTACAAAAAATTAATGAATGAGGCAATTTATTGTTTTGATTAAAGGGCTCACTCCATTCTTCCGAACATTTGAAAATACGGTTCTGTTGTTGCCAGTATTATCCTAAAATTCGCAAAATCAAATTTGATAATTTTTCGAAAAATCTGGATTTTTCATAATTTTTCATTTTTTCAATTTTCAATTTTCGATTTTTCAATTTTCCGTTTCCTGCATTTTTCAAGTTCTTCATTTTTATTATTCAATTTTCCGATTTTTTAAGTTTGCTTTTCACAATTTTTTCCTCAAGTTATCAATCTTCGATTTTTCAATTCCTCGAATTTCCAATTTTTCAATTCCTCGAATTTCCAATTTCTCAATTACTCGAATTTCCAATTTTGAAAATTTTCAAACTTTGCAGTTTTTGGATTTCTCAATTATCCGATTTTCCGATTTCTTTAATTCGTTACTTCGATTTTTAAGTTTCTCAATTTTTAATCATTCGATTTTTCAGTTTTTCGTTTCTTCAATTCAAGTTCTCGATTTCCAATTTATAGTTTTTTGAAAATTTTCATTTTATACTTTTTCGTTTTTTCATTTTTCATTCTTCAATTTTGCAATTTTTTCATTTTTTTGTTTTCGAATAGTTGAAAAGTCGAAAAATTGAAAATCGAAAAACTAGAAAATCGGAAAAAATTGAAAAATCGAAAAACTAAAAAAAACAAAAAATCACAAAATTGAAGAACTGAAAAATCGAAACACTGAAAAACTAAAATTCGAGAAAGAAGAAAAAACGAATCGAATCGAAAAATTGGAAAACCCAAAAATTGAAAAATTAAATATATATTGAGAAATTGAAAAATCAAAATTCAAAAAATTGAAAAATCGAATAAATGAAAAAGTTTTTTAAAACCCAATATGTAATTGAAAATGGAAATCTCAACAAATTGAAAAAGTGGAAATCGAAGAACTGAAAAATTAAATATTGAGAAATTGAAAAATCAAAAATTGAAAAATTTAAAAATCGAATAAATGAAAAATTTTTTTAATATCCAATAATTGAAAAATCAAAAAATTGAAAAAACGAAAAAATCGAAGAAGTGGAAAATTGAAAAACTGAAGAAACGAAAAATCGAAACACTGAAAGAGAAACTAAAAATCGGGTAAGAAGAAAAAACGAATCGAATCGAAAAATTGGGAAACCCAAAAATTGAGAAATGAAATATTGAGAAATTGAATTGAAAGTTTTAAAATCCAATAATTGAAAATGGAGAAGTCGTAAAATTGAAAAATTGTAGATTTTAAAAACTGTAATTATTATTAGGTACATATGTAAAGTAAAAATCAAAAATGGCAGAAACGAAAAATTGAAAGATCAAAAATGGGAGAAACGAAAAATTGAAAAATCGAAAATTAGATAATCGAAAAATTAAAAAATCTAAAAGTTGAAAAATCGATAATTGAACACCGAAAAATTGATAAATCGGAGCATTGAAAAATCGACAAAATGTAAAAATAAAGAAAATAGCCGAAACCAAAAGTTGCAAATCGAAAATTTGAAGAAATGAAAAACTTAAGACTTGAAAAATTAAAAACTGAAAACTCGAGTAATTTTAAAGCGGAAAATTACAAAATCTGAAAATTAAAGAAACAAGAAAACTGAAAAAATTAAAATCTGAAAAAACAAAGAATCGAAAATCCAAACGTTGAAAAATCGAATAATTGAAAAATAAAGAAGATTAAAAACCGAAACGAAATTGCAAATCGAAAAACTGAAGAAACAAAAAAAAATGAAAAATTCAAGTTAAAAAAATCTACGTTAGTTTTATTTAGACCACTAGTTTTGACTTTATATAGACGTTATCAGAAAACAGAAACAAAAATCGAAAAAAATAAAATATATAATTTTTTTATAAAAGTGAGATATATTCGGCTGCAGTTCAGAGGCGAAGAAAGTTCTGTCGAACCAAGCTTCGACGAATTTTTTTTGTGATGTTTAACTCAGTTTTATCTCCGAATGATGTATTTATACCATTTATGTACAAAATTTCGACTTGTGATGATTTTTACGAGTTCGTCGGGGGGGGGGGCAGTAAATCCGCTTGCCTGGCAAGACCTTCTTCTGTCGTAAAACTACCAAATGTCAATGATTTTTTGTGGGTTTTTTTGTGTTTTTTTTTTTTTTTTTAATTTTAACTTTATGAGGGATTAACATGTAATGCTAGTCAACTGAAAGTCGTAAACACACTATATCGTTCGTCCGAAAGCTCTTTTAGCGAGCGAAGCGAGCTATATTTCATTTCTAAACCAAAACTCAATTCTGTGTTCAAGATTCTTCCCGCGATTACAGTGAGTTACTTATGCAACACAAGTTATTTTTCAAAATTATGTTTCAGCACGCGAAACGAGCTAGATTATGCACTTCTAAGTCGAAACACGATCTAATCGACGAGAGAAACGAGCAAAGTTATGCAGTGGCAATTCGATCGACCCTTAAGATTATTCACTTACAAAAAAATAAAACCCGAGCTGTTCATAGTCTTTCGGCGAGCGAAAAAGTTGAAACGTGGTCTCCTAGGATTCTTCAAGCGGGAGGAACGAACTGTATTTTACTGATTCTAAGAGCAAACACTAGTCGACCTTCAAAATTTATTCAACGAATGAAACAAGATCTGTTATATTACTTTTGATCTAATAAACATAAAGCCATGAAATAAACTACATAACATAGAATAGAAGTCGTAAAAAATACATAGAAGACCCGGCTGTGGAATTTAGAGAGAAAGAAAGACTGCTAGGACAAATTGTTTTTGTTTCTGTGACGTCAACTTTTTTTTGTCTTTTTTTATTAGATCGTTTAACGTTAATAGGAATACTTTCGTCACAGCTCGATTAGAAAAAAGTTGATGAAATCTCGCAAACGGTTCAGCAAAAAATAGGCGTCCTTCGGTTTTTGTAGTCGTTTTCTTATCAGCAATTGCTGATAAGATGTGATCTACTGAAAGCGTTTTCCGTATCTTACTCGTTTTTATTGCTAGATGTAATAACCTAATAACAGTAACAAATGGCATGGTTCGATTATTATTAACTCAATTTTTTTTTTTTTTAATTCTAGATGCAAACAATTTATTTGAATTTTTTTTTGGAATTTTCCCGTTATCGCACACCAAGATTTCATCGTTCACCCTTATCTTCTCGTTCGAAACCTTAACCCTCCGTTAACGTTCCAGGTAAACTCAAAGAATGGCTGGTCCGAAATCCTGGAGCAACTCCGCCTCTCGAAAGACTGCGTCAACGGCAGCGTCGCCCTCAAACAAATCTACCTACGGTAAGTGTGACCGCCGTCGACCTGGTGCACCGCATCTCCCGCCTCGGCGGCCGCGAGCCGTTCTTTTCCCCCTTTCGGCCCAACACCTACTGACTATCTGCCAGCGAGTACGGCATGCAGCAACCTCTCGCCGCGGATCGGTGTGACGGCGGGCGCCGCGAGACGCTCGCCGCTCACGTGGTGCGCTCGTTCACGTGGTTCCGAGTGTTGTTGTGTGTCCGCGTGTCGTAGGTCAGTGACGGTTCCGGCGTGACCCGCGCCGTGACTCGATTCACTATCGCCGACTGCATGCACCAGGCCGTCGCCGTGGCGGGACGGGACAGCACTAACACACCGCGTCTCTCTGTGTGTCGACAGGTACCTGGATCGGTGGGAGAAGGTGCACTTCCTCGGGGAGGAGGCGGACCGCGGCAGCGACGACGACGAGGAGAGCAGGCACAAGAGATGGTCGGCGAGGGCGCTGCATTCGGTGCCGCTCACGTATAACTACAACCAGCACGTGATCGCAGGTGAGTTGGGGGCGGCGGATTTACGGGGTGCTACATATTTTATACAACGTGGCTATGAATTATCGTGGTATCAAGGGCGGCTTTGAAAAATAATTAAAATAAATTCCGCAACCACCCTTGATACCAGAATCATTTAGAGACACTGTGTATAATTTTTAAGCCAATGACTTTCTTGATTTTTTTTTAATTAATCCAGTGATTTTATTTTTGGGAATCTTAAGAATGTGACGGGTTTGTCAGTTAATGAGAACTTTATTAAAACCGTGGGTTTTATATTAAACTAGTCCTCGTTCCCATTAAAAAAGGAAAGAAAGATGTTTGATAATCCAAAAACGATCGTGGTGGTGGCTGAAGTTTCAATAAAATTTACATTTATATACGTTTAAAATTATTTAAAAAATGGTTACAGAGGCAATAAGCAAAAATTAGAATTTTCTATTAAAGGGAAAAACAAAAAATGTGTTTGTAATAATCGTGAAAACAGCAACTGTCTAGCATTTCCAATTTAGAACATTCCTAAAAAAGTTATAAGATCGCGCGTGACATTATAGTGACATCTGACCGATCTAGGGTGTATGGAAAAAAACCGTCTGTTTACAATTTGTGAAATGTCTGGTTAAAAATTGTTGTAGGTATAAGAACTAATTTTTTCTACCTTTAGTATTTTTGTAACACATTTTCATTTACACTCAAATTTATTCGGAGAACGTCGTACTGTTAAATGTCAAAAATTATTTTATCCAGCAAAAATTGTTCGGAAAATCTTTAGGAAATTGTCGGGTTTACTTTTTTTTTTAGGGTGGCAGTTTTCACAAAAATTTTTCAGTTTTTCGTGTCTTCAATTTTTTTTTAATCTTTTAATTTTTCCATTTGAATGAAGAGGGGGTCGGTGGGCGGAGCTACTGCTTGCTTATAAAACTCTTTTTTTGAAAAACCGAAACTCAGCTCTGCCCACTTCTTGTCCCCATTTCACTGACTTACTTTATTTACTGTAAAATGTGAATTGAATTCTATTATAACAAGCGGTAGAATCTTAGATTTAAAACAACGTGAAAAGCTGCCCCTCCCACCCACCCGTATTGCGTTTTCATCATTCATTCTTATTGGCTCTGAAAATTTTTCGATTTTTCAATGTTAAATGATAAGATCTAAAGAAATATTGAAAAAATAAGCTCTCTTGGTGTTTTTTTTTTTTTTTTGCAAACAAAATTTGAAAAATCTTGGGGCTCATCTTTGGTTTTCAAAAGGATATGAAAAAATCTTGGTGTTCGTGGTATTTGTTTTGGGGAGAATTTGAAACAATCTTGTAAGTCTCGCGTGTTTTGTTTTAGAACAATTGGTGCTTTATTTTTGAAAGTTTTAAAAATGTTTTAGGGGCCTTGGGGTTTTATTTTTACAAGAATTTGAAAAAATTTGTTTGGCTTTCGGTCTTCTGTTTTTAAAGCAATTTGAAAAAATCTTGGAGATCTTGGAATTTCGTTTTTGGAAAAATCTTGACGGAATCTGGGCTTTTGTTTTACAAAGAGTTGACGCTATTGGAGCTTTCTTAAAAAATAAAAAATCTTGGGGCTCATGTTTGGTTTTCAGAAGAATTTGGAAAAATCTTGGTGTCCCGGTGTTTTGTTTTAGAACAAATTTGAACAATTTTTGGAAAACTTGGTGTTTTATGTTTGAAAAAATTTTCGGGAATTCCAGACTTTTACTTTGGAAGGAAACCCTGGAGTTTTGTTTTTGAAATAGTCTTGGAGAAATCCGGTGTTTTGCTTTAGGAAGACTTAGATGCTCTTGGCGCTCTCTTTTTGAAAAAATTGAAAAATCTTGGAGGCCCGTCATGTTTTGTTTTATAATTAATTTGAAATAATATTCGTGTTTTTTTTTTAAGGAATTTACGAGAATCCAGGTGCGTTATTTTTACAAGGCTAATGAAAGAATTTAAAAAATTCTAGGTAATCAAAATACTGTGATATTTTCATTTTGAAATGTCTGTTTTTTACACGATCAGTTTGAAAATTATCTATGTATACTAAGAACGTTATTTTTGTACATTGCAACTAAAATCTCGTATTTCAGCGTGGCACCAAACCAACTCGTATTTGACTAAAAAAATCTTGGTTGTGAAATCTACTGTTGCTTTGTTATTTTTCTTTGTTTTGCAAATTCAATTTTTATTAACGTTTCTCTTTATTATAATTTTTTTAATATCTTTATTGTCAGATAAAATTTCACGAGGTCACAGTAGTAGTGTCATTGTAAACAAGTCGTCATTTTTTTAAGATTGTTTGTCGCCTCTTTTCGTTCTTTTATATGCATATACATAGCATTCCGGACGTTTCCTTTATTGCCTTTATTTTTCAGAATATATCACCATATCAAATAATGAATGCATTGTCATTATTCTTTTCGGAATTAAAAAATAATAAAAATATATTTTTGCAACAACAAAAGTTGATAATTTTTTTATCTTATCATAAGCGATTCGACCCCTCGGTGTTACGAACTTTAAAGATTGCGTCAAAACTGCGAGGCCTGTGATTACGTTGACGCATTATATCTTTGAAATTTCAATCTGTTTAATTTTATTAATTTACGATAAGACCTTTGTCTCGTCTAGAATAACCGCTTTACCAACGAGTAAGTTACGGCACGAAGCCCCCCGAGTTCCTACGAAAACACGCATTCGGAAAGTACTTCCCGCGTGGTCTACGGACGCTATTTTTGCAACAGATGTGCTTTTAGTAAAAAAATCGATCTTCAACTGTTTCAAGCTCCAAGAATAGACTGTGAAAACCTGAATGGAAATAATTAATTAGTTTTTTCTGGTTTTTCTGTTGTGTCTTAAATATCCCGACCAATTTTTAAACAGTTGTGAGAACCAAACGTAATTGTGCGTTTACGTCAACAAAAACGCACAATGAAGAAAGCATTTGTAATTTGTTGTTTCTCAAGCGTTTCGTTTAATTATATAAGAATAAAGAAATGCAGCGCTTGAGAGCATTAATTAACCTTTTTGAAAAGTTAATTTGCCGCTTTTTAAAAATAATAATGTCACTGCCACTTGGACTCGGACACGATTTTTTATTTGACAAATCGACAACCTTTGGTGATGTAATGTCCGAGATAGAAAATGCAATTAACCTTGACAAAATTTTTAACGAGGACGACTTATTGTCGGCTATTATTGTTACTAAGGAAAACTTAAAAACATCGACTGCTGTAATAAGATGGAAACTGGTTGAATGAAAAGGACGGGAATACGTTTCCCGTCGCACTTTTCTTTTTTTTTTTTTTTTTTTCAAAAATAGTTCTCTTATTGTTGGAAATAAACATCAAGGAGATTTATGAGTGCTAAAATTAATTCACGAAACTCTCTCGTGAGTACTTGTTTCTGTAAACCGTGTCCGCTTTCGCAGTTTTTTTGTTCAAAAGACGCCTCTTTTTGCATAAATTCGTTCCAGTCGTCGACAATCCAAAGTTCACAGTTCAAACCGAAAGCGAAATATCTTTGAAAATATGCAAAATATTAGAAATTCCCAAGGCCACCTCCCGTTGGCAGCCGCCTTCCACCGCCATACGCTCTCCCTCACCTAACGGTTATTATTATCTTTCCGCGTAATGCACAACCCAGCCGCGATCCCAACCATTCGTAATATTTGTATTCCGTCCAAACCGAATTTATTCTCCACCACGAGGCCGAGGAATGCCATAAAAATATCCAATTCCGAATTCCGCGAAACTCTCGCCGAGCGGCGAATTCGTCTCCGGCGGCGGCGTCGGGAGCACGTGTGGCCGCTGATTCCGGGCTTCCGTTGCGTGCGGTAATTTTCCGCGCCGCCCCCCTCCCTGTGGTGGCGTCACGTGTTGCGTTCGCCGCCGTGACAAATTATGGATCAACAATGCGATCGTCGCTTGTTGTGATTGCGCAAAAAGGTAGGTGCTTGCGCGATGACAAATCTAATCGGAGGATACACAGGCGCGAATGTGGCGTGTGTGATCGATAGAGGCGGCGGAACAGCCGAAACGGGCAGGGAGGGACTGGGGGGAGCAGGCCCCTATGCGTACTACGGGCGGTAACGCGGCGCGATTATAAATAGAGTGGATGGGAAGAATTAAGATGCGAGAGCGTAAATTAGCGCGGAACGTGCGCAACGTCAGGATTATCGATGGGTTGAAATGTGCGTGTGTACGGCGGGAATGTGGAGGCTGGAAGGCGGTGATGCTTGATGATTGAGGCGGGGAGTTTGACCACGATGCGTGTGTTTTGTACCGGTTGTATTCAGGATGAATTGAATAAGGGACCCTAGTTCTTTATTGAAGAAAAATGTGAAAGTAGTATCTACATAGTAACTGACCTATGACGTGACTGTGTCTAAGACAGAGGCATTAAAACGTGTATAGGAAACTTATAGACACTAGGGAAAAGGTCTCATAACTATCGAAATTAAAACAAAAAAATTCCTTATTCAAATTTCGACCTATTTTCGAAATTTAACTAAATTTATTTTCTTGTAGATTTCTGGCCTCAGAAGTCATTTTCGGTTTCGTTTCTGTGATAACTCCAACCGTTTTTCCAGAATCGCACATTGTATATAATACCGAAATTTTTAGAAATTTCAAAAAATTCGAATTTCAAACCGAAGATTTCGAAAATATTTGTCCGTGGCTATATTTTTGTAATTGCTAAGATAAAACTGATTTTGGCAAATGAGGTACTCTCTTAAGAAAAAAAGAGGGTGTGTGGGAGGGACTAAAATTTAATCGATCACAGCTGCCAATCGTAAAGGTCAGTTATACACAACAGTATGGATTAATAAAACACATGCGTTTTCCGTTATATTTTCTTCTTTCAAAAAAGTAGGGCCAACTTGATGGCTTTTTCAAATGAGCACGAGGTAAGAGAAGTCGCTACGTTTGACGATCTCCATTATTAACACCAATTATTGTTACAAAATTTTATTATCCATAACTGTCGCTACATAACTGCCGCTACATAACTGCGAGGGCGGTTTTTTTTTTAAACAATTTATTATCATATATAGTTTTTTTTTTAATTTTGTTGAAATTTTTGCATCACGCATTGTAAAAAATCAATATTTGGGTTATTTATGGAAATTTTGGTTAATTTGTGACTTTATTTGTTGGGACTGAGATACCTATAGTAAAAATAAAAGTTAGCAACTTCTACGACGCAAGCTTTTTTTTTTACTGTGTATTGTTTCTATCAAAAAAATCGACGATATATCTGTAATTTATATATTTTCTTAATTTATAGTTAATTTTTTATAATTTATTTATTAAACGGAGCGATTGTTCTCCTTTATCATGTAGGTACAGAAAATAAATACAAATACTTGTATATAACATCGACATCATCACAATATACAACATAATATAAAAATATTAAAAATATACTTTAAACATATCACAACAAAAATTCTGGCGTTATTTCTGGAGTTTTGTAAGCTGAAAACAGTGTTGAAAACCGTGTTCTGAAATTTCCTTTAATAATTGAGGTATTGATTTTTACAAATCCCTGAATTTTTTGAAAATTTCAAAAATGAAAATTTCGACAATGTATGCAAATTAGACCCATTTTCGACGATTTTCGTAATTTAACTGAAAATGTTTTCTTGTAGATTTCGGGCCGTAGAAGTCACTTCTTCGATAACTCCAACCGTTTTTTCAGAATCGCCCATTGGTGTATTGAAATTTTTAGAAATTTCAAAAAATTCTCATTGACACCGAATATTTTGAAAATATTTACCCATGACGCTATATTTTTGTAATCAGCGCGTCGAGTTCTACGCCCCTGAATTTTTTAAGAATTTTTAGATAACTTTTTCAAAAATGAAAATTTTCTGTTAATATTATTCATAAAGAATTATGGCAAACAAAAATAGATTTGGTACAAAAAGTAGCAAGCTATTATGGTAAAATCACCACAAATTAATTATGTATAAACCGTAGAAAAAATATAATATTATTTGAGACAGAAAAAGTCTCTGGTTGGATCAAGTCAGTTCCGGCCAAGTCAGGTTAGGTCAAGTCAGGTCAGCTCAACAAAACAAACAACTTGCAAAATAAATCCTATTTAAATTTATAAATTAACCAACAACTGCAGTTTATGAATCGACCTTTGTTTTTGCCTTTGACGTATTCATTTTTGGACCAAAAATCAAATTTGTAAAACATTTTACTATTTAACTTCAAAATATTTTTTGGGCACTTTTTTGCATTTTCCTTTCTCGTTTTTTTGTATCCTCCTTTTTTTGTCAGCTTTTTCTTATGGCAATTTTTTGGCTCCTTTTTGTGTTTTTACTTCCCGAGCGTAAGCAAAGGAAGTATGTATTGCAATCGAGTCCGTCGGCCGATTCTCTACTTTACGTTTTCTCGGCCTTTCATGACCCCTAAAGGACGAAGAAATAGGTCTCCCGTTTCCGTCTGTCTATCCGTCTATCTGCCGTCCCGCATTTTTATTAAGCAAATAATCTCCGAAAGTACTGGACCGATTGTTGCGAAATTTTGTATTTATATTAGGAATATCATGTAGATGGTAAAACGCTAACCGAAATTTGTCGAATCATCCCCACCACTAAAGCGATGACGTCTGTTCAAAATTGTACATAGTAAATGGGGTTCAAATTGTATAAAATAACATAGTCCTACACATGTAGTTTAGGACTCCGAATAGAGTTTTTACCCGAAACGTCCAGATTTTTGGAAAAAAAATCAAAAAAATGAAACAACATTTTGCAATTTAATTTTGAATCTGCAAAACCGAATGCTTTGAAATCTTGCAGATGCTTTACAGTTATGACAAGCATGGCAAATTTTTAATCAAAATATATTTACTTATCCCCTCCAAAAAAATGATGACGTCAGCTCAAAAATTTGCGGAATAAATCCTGTCTAAAATGTACAAAATATGATGAGTCTGTGGTTGTGATTTATCATTCCACTCATATTTTTTGGATCTGCATGTACAGGGTGACTCAAAAAAAAAATTAATGAAAGTGTGGATTTATTTCACCGATTTAATCAAGAACTACAAAACCGAATGATTTGAAATCTTTAAGATGTTTTAAATTTGTCATAAGCATGGTAAAATTTTGATCAAAATGTATTTGCTCATCCTCCCTAAAAATTTGATGACGCCACCGCAAAATTTTTCTGAAAAAATGCTTAAATGTGTAAATAATGATGAGTCTATACTTGCGATTTATCACTGCATTAATACATATTTTTTAGATTTGCTTATACAGGTGTCCGAAAAAATTTAATGACTGAGTCAATTAATTTTATTGATTAAATCAAGAATTACAAAAATGTAATACGAAAAAAGACATAATAGGCTTGCAGTCGTCACGTTCCCGACAGCGAGAGAAGTACTGTCTAAACTCTTTGAAACATTTTTTTTTTTTATGTTATTTTTTTCACGTTTTCTATCCCATTCTTTTAAAATTGCCTTTTGGTTGCTTTTTGTCCTTTTGGGAGCCTTTCTTTGGTGTTATTTTTTGTTATATTTTTGTATATTTTGACGCCTTGTTTTTTGTCGATTTTTTTTAGACATTTCTTACCTTTTAGGCGTGTTTTTTCTCAATTGTTTTTGCCACTTTTTGTCCCATTCTTTGTTCCCCTTTTTTTATAGCCCTTTATTGGCGTTTTTTTGGAGCATTAATGGGCTCTTTTATGTGGCTTTTTTTAATCTCGTTTTTGAAGATTTTTTTCCGTGTTTGGCGTCTTTTTTTGGTCGCGTTTTTGTCCCTATTTCGTCCCTATTTCGTCTTCATTTCTTTTTGTTGGTTTTTTTTTTTTTAATTTTCTGTCCCTTTTTTTCAAATTTCTCTTTGGTCGTTTTTTTTTTTTAGGCTACTTTTTTAGGTTTTGTTGCATTTTTTCGTGAACCTTTTTGGTGACCTTTTTATTTGTCATGGTTTATATATTCTTTTGTGAAAGCGTTTTTCTCTGTTGGTTTTTGTGGCTTTTAGTTTTTTTTCAATCGCTTTTTTTGTTGATTTTTTTTACCGGAATTCTTGAAATATACTTCAGGGGCAAAGAAACGCCTGTAAATAATTTTGGACCAATTCTCCTGTCGCTTTGGATATGAAGGTTTATCTTTACGTAGAGAAACACTTTACAAAAATAAAATTTGTTTCGGTTTTCATAGAGGTTTTACATAATACCTCTGGTATAAACATTGTAGGTAATTTTTGGGTTTTCATCAGAAAATTTTCTTACTAGTCCCTGAGTGATATATGAAACATACAGGATTATTATACTTATGGGCGTTGACATGGAGATTACTAAAACCGTTCTATTGACTTTTGTACATCTACACGAAGTTTGTCATTTATATATGTATGTAATTTTTTTCTTAGCATATGTTTGAGTTAAATTTTCCAAATGAAAGATTTGAGAGTGCACAATAAATTATCGTTTTCTCTAGATCCGTAATACAACATAACGTCATTTATTATTATATTTGTTATTAAAGTAACGAGCAGTCGTAAATATTGCACCTTAATAAATACGCAGAGTAACATATGGGTGGGTACATGGGTTGGGCAATAATCTTGTATTAAAAATTAAATAAACATGGCGGTACATAAACGAACAGAAACCAGGAAAAAATTGCAAAACTCAATAATTCGACGTAGTTTCCAGGTTAGATCGGTTACGCAACGAGCTAATTGTCCTCATTTGTAATAAAAAAGTCGTCGCGTAATGCAAAACGATAAAACAGATTTTAGTGCTCTTAAAATAGTGTTAGAAAAGCGCCAAACACAACGTGCCGTGTGCCGCACCGCGTACCGTGGAATGGTGCCTTTACATTTTTGAAAATCAGTCGCCAAGGAAGTTTGCACTTTATTTTCTTCAGCGCAGTACAGTATTTAGAATATACATTTTTTAATTTGTTACTATGCCAGCGGAACTCGTCGGTCGACGTGTAATTAACGGAGTAATTATTATCGAGTTTACTTAGTTGCATACTGTGACGAAGTAGTTATATAGTATAGAGCGTTAATTATAGTCGGCAACTAGATACTACTACAACTCAAGCCCGCCCCTGTACTCGCGGTATAACTTGAGGTAGGGATCTATCGGCAGCAGCCGGCCGGCGTATCGATTCCGAGCCGGCGATTTTTCCGGGAATTCCGGAGCCCGAAAATTTTTTCATAAAAGTAGCCGACTTTCTCCGCGAACACGCCTCGACGTGGATATGTTGCGCATTTTTACGTGCAGGTGAAATATTGATTCGAGGGAGATAAACGATCCTTGTTTCGTGTCGGTTTGTGTTGTTTTTTTTTCTCCTCTCCTCTCTCGCGCGCTGCATTTGTGCAACTGTGCGAGAGAAAATATGGTGATATTATATCGGAATGCGCGCAGACTGACCGCGTCCGTATTGATTTTTTTTGTTGATTTATGATGATTGGTTGACGTCGTGGAAAGTCGATTGATTTTTGGCTTGTTTGTGGGTTTCAGATGCTAATAGGGAGTACAACCATTTGTCGACGAACCTGTACAAACCGTCTGACTACGACAGGTTGGCCTTATCGCTGATATCGCCGCTACCGAACGAACAGGACTTCGCCATAAACGTGTGCACGCTGCTCTCGAACGACGGAAAGCACACGCTCAAACTGGACAAGCATCCGAGGATCATTGATTATCTTCTGGCACATGCAGGTGTTTTCAGTCATAGTAAGTATCGGCGCGGGAGGAGAACGCGCCGCCGAAGTGCGGATTTCGAGGTGGGATTTAATTATAGGCGGTGATTTAGGATTGGTACTAAAATTGGCGCAGGAAATTACTTTTTGTTAAAGTGACGCGCCGATTTAGCGAAACACGAATTTTTGGCGAGGTTGTGGGCGGCGTGTTTGGGGTTTTAGAGTTTACTCAAAATGAGGTGTGTTTTTGCATTTCAAAATTTAAATTAAGTGGGGCCAGGATTTTTACTTTAAGAGCGTAAGCGTAAGCTCGACGTTTCATGATATCTAAAGTACGAAAAAATAGATCTCCGTGTCTGTCTGTCGGTTGTCTGTCCGGATTTTTATTAGACAGATAATCTCCGAAGCAATTGTTGTCAAATTTTGTAAACTAAAATACTCCTGCACTTATGGCTTATGACTCCGTATTTAGCTCTTACACTAGGCATCCAGATTTTCGAGGAAAAAAAAAACAAAATTATGTTTTCCAATTTAACGTTGAAACTGCAAAACCGAATGTTCTGAAATCTTGTTTTACGTCATTTTACAATTTTGTCGAATAAAATGTTCCTTAAATTTTACAGAATTACATGCTCTGTATGTGTGATTTATGAATCCATGTTGACTTTTTACCCTAGAAGTCCAGATTTTTGGAAACAAAAAATTCAAAATTGTATTTATTACATTTGTTTTTCGAATTTCCGATTTTCGGTTTTTCGATTTTAGAATGTTCATTTTTCGCATTTCGAATTTTCAATTACATATTTTATTTTTCCCCTTTTCAATTTCCCTATTTTTCGAATGTGTATTTGATTCGAAATTCCCGATTTTTTTAATTTCTCCATTTTCTAGAATTCTCGATTTGACGAAATCTCTTTTTCCGAATTTTTGATTTTTCAGTTTTTCGATTTTTGTATTTTCGAATTTTCGGTTTTTCGGTTATTTCATTATTCGAATGTTCGATTTTTCGATAGTCGAATTGCCAATTTGTTTCGATTTTTCGAATTTTCCATTCTTCAGTTTTTAGAGTGTTCAATTTTTTCTTTTTCGATCATTCGAATTTCGATATTTTGTTTTTCTAAATTTCGATTCTTGGAATTTTCGCTTTTCCGAAATCTTGTTTTCAAATTTTTTTATTTTTCGGATTTTCGATGTGTAGATTTTCGAATTTTCGGTTTTTCGAATATGCATTTGATTAATCAAACGATTTTTCGGTATTCGAATTTTAAATTTGTTTCTTTTTCGATTTCCCGATTTTTCAATGTTTCAAATTTTAGATTTTTAGATGTTCGAGTTTTCAATTATTTTAATTTAGATTTCTCAATTTTTCCATTTTTGAGAATCTTTGATTAATCGAATTTTCAATATTTTCGATATTTTCAGTTTATTTCTTTTTCGATTTCCCGATTTTTCAATTTTTCAAGTCTTGTTTTCAAATTTTTGATTGCTCGAATTTTCCTTTCTTCAGTTTTTTTAGACTTCTCCAATTTTTTTTATTTTTCGAGTTTTCGATATTCGAATTTAAAAAATTTTTGCCTAATGAATTCCATCTAAAATATGATAAGTCTATACTTATGATTTATCATTGCATATGTATTTTTTAGAAATGCTTATACAGGTGACCCCCAAAAAATTAATGGTTGCGCCAATTTATTTTATTGATTAAATCAGGAACGACTCACTCCATTTTTTCAGAAAATTTTGGGAACATATTACATTTCCATTTTTTGATTTTCCAACTTTTTGGTTTCTCGATTTTTGATTTTCGGCTTTTCCGATTTTCGAGATTTCGGAGTTACTGTATAGAGGTTATCGCAAAACAAAAATCGTAAAACCAAACTTTATGATTTTTTAAAAATGCGGGATTTATTATAGAGCGTTACTTCAAGGACGGGGGAAATTTGTCGAAAAAAACAATTTTTTTATACTGGTAGCTCAATTTTGCTTAGCGTTTTACATGATTGGTCCAATAGTTTCGGAAATTATCTGCGACATCGATACAGACAAAAAACAGACAGACGGAAACAGGAGACCAATTTTTGGTACTGTCGGAGTAATAAAATATCGAGAAAAATGAATGAAAAGTGTTCTTTTTTGATAATGTATTAATTGTTTAGGATTTTTTTTAGTTTTGCAATAAGATTAAATAAAAAGCGAAGAGAAACATTATTTAAAAGGACAAGGTCGATATTGATGAAATAGAAAAACAACAGGAAATTGCAAAAAGTTGTCAATTTGACTGAAACCGACAGACCAAAAAAGAAACAAATGTCTTGAAAGGGGTAAAAACAATTAACTGGTTGAGTTGCACAAAAATAAAAGAACCGTGTTTGATACAAAACGTTTAAAATTACTTCAAATTTTTATTAATTATTTGTTCTTGTTATGTCGTATTAATAATTTTTTTTATGCTTCGTTTACTGGAGGATTTCAGAGTTAAGATATGCTCAATTTTTTACAGCAAACAATCGCAAAAGCAACAAAAACCTGAAACTCGGCAGAGTACTAGTAGTAAAAATAAAATTAATAAGACGCTTATTTATTCTATTACGTCAATTGTTTGTATTGTAATTTACTTCTGCATCATGACGGTTTTCAAATTACATATACATATAATAAATTGTGAACAAATTATTTTCTTTGAATGTGGTTTTCCACCATTTTGTTACTACCTACCACTATATGGTTATCTGTACATTAAACCTACACACTGTACGTTTATTTGCATAAGTTAATTATTTTACTCTTTTAAAACGTATCACATAACTAATTGTACACAAAGGAAACTTGGGTGTATTTACAAACCGTAAGAACGAACACGCACCAGCGTACCTACAAATATTGACAACCACTGACCTATATCAGCCTACCATGCTCAAACCACATCGTTATCGCTTTTCAGTGAACCGATTAATAACAACACTATTGTTATCCAAGGTTGGTGACTTCTAAATAAACAGTCTGCCCTTCTTCTAGTCCTTCTGTACTAAAAATGAAAACACGACGCAGCGAAATCTATATGTAAACAAGGGGCGATAATGGCCTTATAAAACACTTAAAAAAATCAATGCCGTACTGATTAGTTGCGACATTGACTTGGTTGCTATTGGAGACAAATTTTGTTTTTGCGTTACTGAAATTATACGTTTTAGGCTCTCTCCGCCACCTCTTCATCCACTGTTACTCCACCATCCGGAAGCAGCCGATCCACACCTTCTGGTCGGACATACTCGAATCAAAAGAATTCCTGGATCTCACGGACGAAAAAGCCCCCCTCACCGTCAAAACCGAATCCTTCGAATCACCTCCGTCGCCCAGCACGAACTCTCTCTGGTGCGCAAGCAGTGACTCTGAGTGCGAATGTGACGAAACCGAAACGACAGACTCCTCGTCGACCAAAAAACGTTTCAAACTAACCCCCAGTGACCGCGAACTGTTCTGTCTCGGCCGCGGCCTCGGCACCCAGGAGTACGTCGGACAGCGCGTGCTCCAGGTGACGACAATCCTAAGAAATCTCAGCTTCATCGAAGAGAACGTGTCGATCCTCCTCCAGAACAAGACGTTCCTCCGGTTCCTCCTTCTCTGCTCGTCCTCGCGATGGGGCTACCTCAAGAACCTCGGCCTGGACATGCTCGGCAACATCGCGATGGACTTCCTCGTCAAGGATTACCCCACCGACCGACTGGCGGCGATCCTGCTCAAGATCGTCATCAAGGGACTGAAGAGCGAGGATCGCGCGCTGTGCATATCCTCGCTGGAGGTGCTCAACAAGCTCAGCCAGAACGAGGCCAACGAAGACACGCTGCTGCGCCACCTGGAACTCGACGTCTACGAGAAAGTTTGTTCCTTTTTGACTATTCACGACGTGATGTTACTCATTTACACGCTGGAGTGCTTGTACTCGCTCTCGTCGCTCGGCGAGCGCTCGTGTAACTTGATCGTGTGCAATCACGGGGTGGTGGACACGCTGGTGTCGCTGGTCACGGTGGAGGGTAAGAGTTACGGACCGAAAGCGTGCATCGGGATGAAGCTGGTGGAGACGCTGCCGGGAGGCGCGAGCACGACGCCGGCGACGACGGCCCAACAGACGACGACGCCGGCGACCACGACGAGCACGTGCACGACGAGCATCGCGACGATGACCACGACGACGACGAGCACGGTGCTGTCGACGATGGCGGCGGCCGTAAAGACGTCGCTGGTGCAGACGACACCGGTGAGGGCGGTGCAGATCGCACCGCAGAGACTGTTGAGCATATCGCCGAGTTCCTCAGCCACCGGTAAGCGAAAAAGTGATTTTTTTTAAGATTAGCTGGCAACCTGCGGCATTTAATTTCTCCGAAGATCGTTTTGTTTTCAAGAATGTGTCTATCGGCGTGCTCTCTGACTGTTTTTCTCCTTTAGTTACGACGACGGTGACGACGCAAGCCCAGACCATGACTCCACAGCAGCTCATTCAGCAGCAGCACGCGCATCAGCAGGCAATACACGAAAACGAGCAGTTCGCTTTGGCGTGGTTGAGGGCGACGTACGAGCCATGTGCCAACGGAAAGGTGGATAACCAGGAGTTGTACAAACACTACTTAAATTCGTGTTCGAAGATAGGGAGAAGGGGGGTGATATCGCCACTGCATTTTCCTAGATGCGTACGGTGAGTTTGGTTGTTGAGCGCGGTGACGGCGTGGAGGCAGTTTTGTACGAAATACTTACGTACGGAGAAAATGAATAATGATACTGTTATAATCATAATTCGTTCTAGAATTGATCTTTAGTTCTAATTCTAATTTTAGAAATGCTTGTTTTGAAATTTTATTTTGTATATTGGTACCATTTTGAGGTAGGTAATGTACCCTAGAAGTTCTAGTTTAGTTTGTAATTTGACAGTTCTCATTTTAGTTAAAACGGCACATTAATGATTCTTAGCTTCACTTTTATTGGTTTGTTTTGTTCGTATTTTGTTAAATAGGAATGAATAAGATTGGTGATGTTAGTATGATTAACACTCACTAGAGGACGCCTGGAAGATGGCAGGCAGTTCATGGCTAACGTCGTTGAAACTTCGCTTTAACATTAAGTCATTCATTGTTGAAATTAAGATTTTTGATATTGTTTTCTATCTTAAATTTTACCGTTTGTCAAATCAGAATTCAATTTCTATTTAATAGAATATAGTCAATAAAGTAAGTCCGTGAAATAATGAAAGGGGATGGGCGGAGCTAAGGTTAGTTTTTTTTTTACAGAGTCTTATAAGCTCGCAATAGCTCCCCCCCCCCCTCGTGTTTCTAGTGACTACTCTTATTGTTGTTAATAATGACAACTGATGCTCCTCCCACTGACACAAGCTCCACCTTAATAAATAATTTGATTAACCAGGAGATGAGGAATAGCGTTTACAATTATATCTCACTGTGTACTATATATGTTTTTTAATTATTTCAATGTAAACGCTGACGGCAAAGTCGTTTTTGAATAAATATCAAAATTTTATTAAAATTGGTCCTAGATTCTATTAACATCTATTTACAATCAAACTTTCGTTTAAGAGCCAATAAACATAGTTATCAAAACTGAGGAGGGGTGGGTGGCGATCGATACTTTTACTTTGTTTTAAATCGTATTTTCTACCGCCTGTCAAATCAGAATTCAATTCCCATTTTACAGTAGATGAAATAAGTCAGTAAAGTGGAGAAAGGAAGTGGGCCGAGCTAATTTTAACTTTTTTCTACAGAATCTTCTTTGCAAGCACTATCCCCGCCTACCCGCCCCACACTTGTTTCTAATGACTACTGTTAATATTGATAATTAATAACAACATTATCATTTTATTAGAATCTTAGACAAATCTGCTAAATCGTTGGTGAGAAAATAGATCATTACAAAGTACTTAAAAATTGTTAAGCTGGTGTTAAATAAATTTACCAGACGTGAGAATTATATGTAAAACTCAATATTACGGATGCTCCTCCCACTCGCACAAACTCCACCTTAATAAGTCATTCCATTACGAAGAGGGGTGGTGTCTACAATTGTATCTCATTGTGTCTGCTTTATATTATATAATTTTTTTGTACTTCAATGTAAACGTTGACGATAGGAGTCGTTTTTGAACTAAAAACAAAATTTTATTAAAAAAAAAAAAGTGGTCCTAGATTCTGTTATTTGTCAATTTACAATCCAACATTCGTCTAAGAACCAGTAAAATGAGTAATCAAAACGGAAGAGGCATGGGTGGGTGGGGCCACTCCTACTTTGTTTTAAATCTTATTTTCTACCGCTTGTCAAATCAGAATTTTCCCATTTTACAGTAGATGAAATAAGTCAGTGAAGTGGTCAGGTCACCACTTATATAATGCGTTAAAGCTGAGCTCGATAACCTAGAAATACGTGTTAAAATGGCCTCCTAAGCACATTTAAATGGTGTGAGGTGCCTCCGACGCCCCCAGTGGCGCCGTCACCGCCAAGCAGCGACTCCGTCCCAATAACCCGGCGTTTCCGCTTCCAGGTCAGTATTTGGTGGGACGGTGGGCCCGAACCCGATGAAGCCGTCCAGTGCGAACGAGCCACAGTATTACGAAGGCATAAAGGTGCGAGCACAACCTCTCATTATTAATATCCAACCGGCATCCAATCCCGTCACACCACCACAGCCCACACCACCCAGTAAAGGACCAAACAGACGAACTAAGCAGCCATCAAATGTGACAACAACAAGCTCACAAACGGCATCTAGTTTGACGGTCATGGCTGACAATAGTAATTCTTCCAACGACACGAATAACCCACCCGTCTCTCCTGCCTCACCCATCCTCAAGGCGCAGCTGAGTGCTCCCCCGAAACAGAGGGACGCCAATGCTACGCCGCCCACTAGTAAAGGCGATATGAAAAGTCAGGTAATTGATTTTTTTGACATTTCGGAAAAAAAAATGGCGGAACGGGATCTGTCTGTCGGACGTACTTTTCATTTCATTCTACCGCTCTTCTTCCTTTAATTTTCTAACCTTCCCCTAACAATGAGAGGCATTAGTTTGGGTTTGTGGGGCGGCGGGCGGCGTTCGAGGCTGCAGCGGCAGCCTCGAGCGCCGAACGCTTGGTGAGGCTCCGAGCCACGAAATCCGATGTGTCGAGAAGTGGGGATTTGGGGGCTCGGAGCCGGACTGCGCGGATCGTCCCTTTTGATTTTGGTGTGAAGTGGTAGCTTGGGTTGACTTTTCGTGTTGTGTGTTAAGGTTATGGCGCACCCTCACTTGAGCCAAGCTTTACTAGGCAGCAACTCCTCGGGACAGGCGACAGCCGGTTCAAGCAAAGATAATCAGGCAGGTCAGAGCAACACGTCCCTCATCAAAAGCTTACTGGCCACAAAGGTAAACGATTGCATGACTACAGTGAGCATGAGGACTGCAACAGACTGCCAAAATGTAGCTCAGGTAACACACTAATCAACTTAGCTACGGTCCGACCCTATATTCTCCTTTCTTTCCAAGCGATGATCATAAACGTTTTTGTAAATTTTTCGCACGCGATTTTCAATTGCGTCAATCGCATGTTTTTGTCGTTGTATAATAAACTACTAACAGTTTTAATCATGTGTTTTATACTTTTTGTTACTAATATAAACGTAAATGCTTACTGTTTCGTAGTTAATAATTTTTTTAATTGTTATTTACGACGAGGCGGTACCCGGTTTGTGCAATTATGTACACTTCTATTTCCAAGCGATACGGTTTTTTATTAGTGCGTTGTCACTCTCAGCGGGATCACAAAGGCAAATCCTACCTTTGGTGATGCCCCTTTTCGACTTTGAATGAGCCCGTCTTCTACAGGTGGTCGCCCGTCAGCAGAAACTCCTCGCGCAGCAGACCGCAGACGCCAACAAAACCCCCACGAAAAACGACACAAAAGCGTCCCGTTTGAACGGCGCTAGGCAGTTGTTTACCGACGGGGAAGTCGGCGACCCGTCGGTCTCGTCGACCACCCAGTTCACCAACATGCTGAAAGGGAAGAAAGAGCCGCCTCAGCCGCCACCCCCGCTCGCCCCTTTGAGCAACAACGCGAAGAAGACGTCGAGGATAGACAACGAAGACAGCGACTCCACCGGTAACAATTCGTTGGCCTCGAGTTCGGGGATGGGGACTATAGGGATCGGGGGCATCTCGTCGACGGAAGACGGGGATAACTCCCTCACGAGTTTCGAAGGGCTGTTGAATGGAATTCCTAATCTAGATAATCCGTTGAACGAGGACAGCAATTCGAAGGACTCGGTGAAGGTGGGCGGGGAGATACTGAAGAACAAACCTTTGAGGTAGGTATTTCGTGCAGTTATTAGTGTTAAATTAAAATTAAATTAATTTAAAAATAGCGGGTGTTGGGAAAATGGCGCTACGCTCTTAACAATCAACTGAGGAATCTGGGAAAAATAGTAAAAAAAATCCTTTTCACATCTTCGTGGAGTTATAATGATTGGTTCTTTTGATACGTTTAGCAACTAAATTCATTATCAAAATAACTAGTAATAAAACTTTTAGTTAAAATTTCTCTCGCCCATGACCACATTTAATTTCATTTCAATTAGAAATTCTTCTTTTCACAACAAGAAAGGTAAAACATGTTTAAAATGGTAAATTTTTGTAGGAAAGTATCGATTTTGCAATTAGGCTCCGCCCCTCAGCTTACGACGAATAAAAAAATCATCAGAATTGTGATAGGGTGAGTGGGCGGGGCTTATATTTTGCATTTTTTTTTTTTTTTTCGTAATATTCATAGCCATTTTTTCACAACAAGTAACTGAAAACATGGTTAAAATGGTAAATTTTTACCAGGAAATATGAATTTTTGCAATTATGGGGCGAAGCCTAATTGCAAAATCGATATTTCCTTATACAAATTTTCCATTTTAAGCATGTTTTAAGTTTCATGTTGTGAAAATAAATCTACATACATTAAAATAAAAAGGCAAAAGGTAAGGCCCGCCCACCCGCCCTATCTCAATTGTGATGATTTTTTTTTTATTCGCCGTGAATCAAGGGGCGGAGTTTAAATGCAAAATACTTATTTCTTTACAAGAAGTTAAAAACATGTTTTTGAGTATCATGTTGTTCAAAAAATACTATGTACATTAAGAAAAAATGGCAAAATATAAACCCCGCCCACGCACCCCGTCTCAATTGTAATGATTTTTTTTTATTCTTAGAAACTCAAAAAACACGTTTAAAATGGTAATTTTTTTTAAGGAAATATGGATTTTTGCAATTAGGCTGCCCCCCTAGGTCTACCAACGAATGAAAACTTCATTACTATTTAGATCACAGCAGCTGTGGGTGGGTTAATCTTTGGCTTTAATTCTTTCTTAATATACATAGTATTCTTTGAATAACAGGATACTCAAAAACATGTCTTATATGGTAATTTCTTGTAGAAAAATGATAAGGATTTTGCAATTAAATTCCGCTCCTTTGACTCTCGACAATTAAAAAAAATCATCACAATTGAGATAGGATCTTTTGAGTTTCTTCGATTTTATGAGTTTTTGGAATATGTATTTGGTTTTTTTTTTTATATTTTTAGAATTTCTCGATTTTTCGGATCGTTTGAATCTTTGATTTTCGAATTTTTTTACTTTTTATTTTTTTTATCGTATTCTAGAATTTTTGAAATTTTGGTTTTATTCAATTGTTTATAGTATTTTTGGAGTTATGGTATTCTTCAGTTTCTTGCGTTTTTTGGGTATTTTTTATTTTTTAATTTTCTGTGTTTTTTGTTTTCTGATTTTTTAATTTTAAGAATTAGATTTTGTGTGTTCTTGGGTTTTTCAATTTTTTGGATTTTTTTTTTATTTTTGGATTATTTTGTAGTTTTTTCGCTTTTTTGAGTTACATTTCTTGAATTATTATTATTTTTTTTAATGTTTGATATTTTTGGATTTTTCAATGAATATTCTAGATTTTATGGATTTTTAGGATTTTTTGTTTTCCGCCATTTTGCAGACACCTGGGATAGTTGCGCGGCTGCAAAACCCCGCATCTTTTCATGTTGTTCATTTTTTGTCCGCAGATTGGCCGACCTGCTCGAGAAAAAGGTCGAGAAGACTCCGCCGCCGATGATGAACGGCACCCTCGGCAAAGAGTTGCGCTTAGACTTGGTTGAGAACCACATCGAGAAGGCCCTTAGCCGCGAAACGGACAACCACGAAGACGAAAAGAAGACGTTGAAGCGGCCCGCGAGCGACGAGATTGTCGAAAGCGAACCGAAGAAGGCCAAAGTGAACGTGAACGGATCGGCGGGGGCGGACTCGCCCGCCCCCGATTCTGTGTCGAGTTCGAACGGCGACGAGGGCACGGCGACGGTGTCGACGGCGGCAGCGAAACTGTTCGCCGACATCGCGGCCGACATCCTAGAAGGGGAAGACGAGGAGCAGCTGCTGCAGGAGGCGGTGGCGCCCGCGCCGCCACCTCCTGTCGAACAAGCGCCCGTGGCGCCGCCCGCCCCCGTCCAACAGCTCATCATGGACAACAACCAACAGGTAGGTGTCGATCATACGAGGGAAAATGGTGATTGTCGAATTTTGCCAGGTTTTGCTGACTCAGCCTCGTCAGATTATAGTGTCGCAGCCGAAGACCCAAACCGGTCAGCCCGTGATAGTACAAAACGCCGGTCAAGCGAGGCCGCAGATGGTGCTGCAGCAGAACCCGGGGCAGATTTTGCTGTCACAGGGGCTGCAAGGGCAGGTTCAACTGGTAGCGAGTACCACGCAACCGGGGCAGTACCTGCTGCAGACCAGTGGGGCCCAACCGACGTACATGGTGGCGCAGCCGCAGACGGCCGTCGTCCACGGGCAACCCCAGACCGTGTTGGTGGCGCAGACGGCGCAGCAACAAGGGAGCGGTACCAAGACGATTATAATTCTTCAGCAGCAGCCGTCGTCGACGACGCACCACCAAAAGGTCGTACTACCGCAAGGTCAACAAGTGGTGGTGACGCAAGTGCACCGGCCGGTATTACAGAGCTCTACGGTAACGAATAACATCATTCCGGCGAGTTCCGTCATCAAAACCACGGCTGTCACGCAAACGGCGAGCAACGGAGTCGTGGAAAAAAAGGAGGAAGTGCGGCCGAAGATCGTGAGGGATTTAACCACTCCTTTCGTTTGCGAGTGGGGGGATTGTAACGTGTAAGTGATTCGTCGCCGAGGGTGACTCTATTTTCATTGGTGCATTCCATAGTGACACGAAGTTCAAATCGGCCAACCAGGTGTATTTGCACGTCTGCGAAGCGCACGTTCCTAAAGGTAGTGAAGAGATCGTCTGTCAATGGGACCGTTGTGATAATATGAAGAGAAAAAGGTTCTCTTTGATGACACATCTTCATGATAAACACTGCAACACGGAGGTGAGTGGTCACTCCATCTGTTCGCTAAACCGACTATAACGTTGTTTTTGTTAGGTTATGAAACAGAGTCTGACGCGGCGGAAGCAGGTGTCGCAAGGGGGCAAAGTGGAGCCGCCGCCGCCCGCACCGTCGACGCACCCGGGCTACGCCCCCGACGCCGCCCTGCACGCCATCAAGCGACACGCCCTGGAGTTCGTCAACCCCAAGGAGTTGCAAGTGAGTATATTTAATTTTTGTGATGCGTTGGTGTCAACAAAATGGCGATGGGTGACAATTGTTTTGTAAATCGCAGAAAGCTACGGTAAAGCAAGGCACACCGAGTGTGTCTGCGCCGCCGCCCAGACCTGGGCCCGCTGTGGTGGAGCAGGTGAGGTGTTTGTGCGTGCGCTTGAGTAGTTTTGGATTTGTTTATTTTGTTAGGTTATGTTTGCCTATGGTACTCCATTTGCATGATTTTTTTGTTGTTTCGGAAGTGGAGGGGACGGTGTTTTGATTGGGTGGTGTTTTAGGATGACAATGAGGGCCCCGTGACGAAGAGCATAAGGTTGACAGCGTCTCTAATACTTAGGAATCTCGTAATTTACAGCAGTAATTGTAGAAGGTGAGTACGGCGGGGAGCGAGGCGCGGTCTGATTGGTGGTTTTTAAAGGTACTTAAAGCACTATGAGCCTCATCTAGCGAATGTAGCCCTTAGCAACGTAGAGTCGTCGAGGACGATAGCACAAGTTTTGTATGATATGAATGAAGGATCGAATCACAGGTGACCTGTACGCAAAAGGACGTAGTGTTTACGGACGCCCAGTGAAAGTGTGTGAATATAGAAAAACAACTGTCTGTAAATTATTAAGTGGAAGTGTACAAATGTTAGATTGATAGGTACTAAAAGCCTAATAATTGTTATTTTTATATTATTTACTAGTGTAAACAAGCTTCTGAACTATGCAAATTTGATTTCAGTCATCGTCGTAAATAAACAATTTTCTATCTGTGCAATTTATTCAATTTGATCGAATTGTAGCTACTGTAAATAATTCCAAACATGTAAGGTGGATGATCATTATTTAGTTTTGTCCATACTTGTGATATATAAAGCACATCGTTTATTTATCAGTATTATCTGAAACTGTAACTCGGTATTGTTTCGAAGTTCTGTGAGGTACAGAATCTCTAGCTGACTGATTTTGTGTTAAACATGAGAAGAAGTGTGAGGTACTAATTTTCATGTGCTTAGCATATCCACATCTTAACTTACCAGTAAAACTCTGTAAAATGTTTACTATTATAAAAGAAAATAAAATGCATTTAATGTGGACTTATTCATTTATTGCACCTTGCATTATCTCCAAGTTGGGCGTAGTCAGAATAACGCTCTATCTATTAAAATTTAAAATTGGCGCGTCTGGTGACGTCTAGGAACTTTCGTGCCAACAGTAGCCCCGCGGCCATTTTTTGAAAATTCATAGCCTTACACGTGAAACAACAGTATTTTTGCGTAACATTACGCAACTGTCGCCGAAAAACCGCCCCAAAATGAGTGTCACCACCGAAACGGTCAACTTTTACAACAAAGAGGCCACGAATGCCGTAAGTCCACCCAAACTAGGTTAAGTTCCTCACACATATTGCCCTTTCGCAGGAGGAGCAAATCGCGCTCCTGAAACAACAAATCCTGCAACTACAACAAAACATCAAGAGTAAAACCGTCGACGCATCGCTCGACCCCGACTTGCAAACACTCTTCACCGAAAACACGAAGCTCAAACACCGCCTCACCATCTTGCAAAGAGTAAGTCACAATGTAACCAAAACGTGAATAACACCCAATTCCAGGCGATTTCGAACCTGAGCCATTCATCCCCAGCTCCACGGGACTCAACCAGGATGCAAAACATCCAGGAAATCCTGGCTGAGGTGTTCAGCCAGGCGATTGCATCAGCTTGTCCGGACATCACAGACCCGCCAGTTGTCATCACCCTAGGTAACAACCCAAAGTTCGGCGACTACCAGTGCAACTCCGCCATGCAAATCGCCAACATTTACAAACAGTTGGGCAAAAAGATCACTCCTCGCGACGTCGCGAACAAAATTCTCGAAAACGTCGCCCCACATGAGGTAATCGAGAAACTGGGAGTAGCCGGGCCGGGGTTCATTAACGTATACGTGAGTAAAAGTTTCGGGCTGCGCAACCTCTCCACGGTTTTCTCGCACGGGGTTAGGGCTCCCGAAGGAACGAAATCGCGGATCGTGGTAGATTTTTCGTCGCCCAATATCGCGAAGGAGATGCACGTGGGACATTTACGGTCCACTATTATCGGGGAAAGTATTTGTCGCTTGTTGGAGTTTTTGGGGCACGATGTTTTGAGGATCAACCATGTGGGGGATTGGGGGACTCAGTTCGGTATGTTGATTGCGCACCTTCAGGATAAGTTTCCTGATTATTTGGAGCGTTCGCCCCCCATCTCCGATCTGCAAAGTTTTTACAAAGAGTCGAAAAAACGGTTCGACGAAGACGAAGATTTTAAAAAACGGGCGTATTCGTGTGTTGTTAAATTGCAGTCGTTCGACCCTGACTACACAAAAGCGTGGCAATTAATCTGCGACGTGTCGCGTAAAGAATTCCAGGTGATTTACGACCGGTTGGACATAAAGTTAATCGAACGTGGTGAATCCTTTTACCAGACTCGGATGCTCGAAGTCGTCAAAGAGTTGGAAGAAGGGGGTTATTTGGAGGAGGATGAAGGTCGGAAGGTGATGTGGGGGGATAAAACTGCTAGCAGTATACCTTTCACTGTGGTGAAGTCTGACGGTGGTTACACCTACGACACCTCAGACTTAGCCACGATAAAACAACGCATTCAGGAAGAAAAAGCCGACTGGATTATCTACGTGACGGATGCCGGCCAAGCCACCCATTTCCAGATTTTGTTCCAGTGTGCCCGTCGAACGGGACTCCTCACTGATAAAATTCGCGTGGACCACGTCCCATTTGGTGTGGTTTTAGGCGAAGACAAAAAAAAATTCAAAACGCGATCTGGGGACACCGTTCGCTTGATCGACCTCCTCGAGGAAGGTTTAAAACGCGCCCTCGACAAACTCAAGGAGAAAAATCGCGACGAGGTGTTGAGTCCCGAGGAGTTGCAGCGTGCCCAAGAATCCGTCGCCTACGGTTGCATCAAGTACTCAGATTTGAGTCACAATCGTAACCACGAGTACGTCTTCAGTTTTGACAAGATGTTGGAGGACAAAGGCAACACTGCTGTGTATTTATTGTACGCTTACACTAGGATAAAGTCGATCGCGCGCACAGCCAACTTCGACGAGGCGAAAATCGAGGAGTTGGCTAACAACCACTCGATTTCTCTTGACCACGAGAAGGAATGGAAACTAACGAAAGTCCTGCTGCGGTTCCCCGAAGAACTAATCAAAGTCACGAAAGATTTGTGTCTGCACCACTTGTGCGAGTACGTTTACGAAATAGCCACCACGTTTACGGAATTCTACGATTCGTGTTACTGCGTCGAGAAAGATTCGTCGGGAGACGTGGTCAAAGTGAATCACGGGAGGATTCTGTTAACGGAGGCGACGGCACGTGTTATGAAGAAGTGTTTCGATATTTTGGGTTTGAAACCCGTGTCGAGGATGTAACTGTTGAAATAAACTTGTTTGTATTTTACGATGGTTTATTTTTTCTTATAGAATTTATTAAAAAAGAAGAGTCAACATTTAGATACATTTGGGTTTGCTATTTACAGTTAAAATCTGGGGAAGACTAAAATATAATATCTGAAAAGCAACTACTTGTATGTACAAATAAAGTCTTTGGCTTGAGTTGTCAGATCTTGTTGGCACGTCGTTATGTTGAAAACACTAACGTCAGGAGCTCAGGTTCAGTCCGAGTCTTGCTAAAACCATATCTTTTCGCAATCGTATGATCTCCCAGTAGACGTCATGTGCTGGAACAGAAAAATTCAACTGTAAGCTATGTGATTTACTTATATGTACCTAGAAATTCCCAGTTATGCCGGAAGTGAGTCAAAAACAGACTTTCTTTCATAATGAGCTTTAATGGCATCCTTGGGGTTTTCTGCGAAAACATTTCCGGTAATTAATGTCGTGTGTTGATTTTTTCTGCTATTGACTTGGCAACAGTAATCGTTACCTCACAACGACGCGCAGCTAAAACATCTCAAGTCCTTCGTTGGTTCGAACGCGTAAGTGACGCGAGATACATATCTACGCAAATTATAAATTACTTATTGTCTCCGTCAACAATGAATCGCCCGTTTGTGTTGATCTTGCCGAACTTGAATACAAACACGAAGTTGAAACGCATATTTTTCATTTTTACTACCAGAGTGTAAGCAAAGAAGTACGGTAATCGAACGTTTATGACCCCTAGAATAGGAAGAAATAGGTCTTCCGTTTGCCGTATATCCGGATTTTTATTAGACAGATAATTTTCGAAACTAATGGATCGATTGTTGTCAAATTTTGTATGTATATTAATAGAATTTAAAATCTCCATTTAGGAGTAAAAAATTCTAAGATCGTAAAAAAGAAAAACCTTAAAAATTCTAACGATTATTAAAAAGTAATTAAAATGAAAACTAGAAAAATTGCAAATAAAAAATTGAAGAAACCAAAAATTGAAAAATCGAGAAACTCAAGTCTAAAATTGAAAAAATTGGTCCAAAATTATTTCGACAGAACTTTCCTCGCTTCTACAGTACAGCCCAACAAATACTACTTCTATGAAAAATTATAAAATTTTATTTTGCGGAATTTTACTTTTTCGTGAAAATCTCTATGGAGAAAAAACAATATAGGTGTTAGTCACAGTGTAATAGAAAAAAGGTTTCACCGTAAAAAGACAGTTGGGACCCCCGACAAGGTTTTACATTTTTTAAAAAGACAGTTGGAACCCCCGAAAAGGTTTCACATTTGAAAAAAAAAAGACAGTCGGGCCTCCGAGAAGCTTCCACATTGCCGCCCCCAAGCTTTACATTTTGAAAACAGACAGTTGGGTCCCGAGGTTTCACATTCTAAAAAAAAAAAGTTTGGCACCCCCGAACAGGTTTTACATTGTTAAAAAATGACAAATGGGACTCGCGAGACGGTTTCACTTTCTTAAAAATATATATTTGGGGCCACCGAGAAGATTTAACATTAAAAAAAGACATTTAGGACGGAAACCAGAGACTATACTTTTTTCGTGCTCTAGGGGTCATGAAACGTCGAGAAAATATGTAAGTGGCCATTCGTCCGAGTGGCTCAGGAAGTAAAAACCAAAATTTTGAAAAATTGCAAATCGAAAAATCGAAACAAATTATAAAATCAGAACATTGAAAAATCGAAAAATTCAGCTTCAACCATTCAATTCTCAGCTGTGACACTCCGAATTAATGTAACTTTATGTACAAACGCCGCGCTTTTTGGGTCTCCGAAAGTTATTAGCCTCGGCATTCTAGGACTTCCGTACTACAAGTGCTTAGCAATGTATTACTTTTGTTTAGAATCAAGTTACACAAACATTGTTCAGTTACTTCACTGTTTTCTGCGGTTTCCTCGAACACAAATATTTAATTTTTAGCCCCCATTTTCCAGAATGCTTTGTATTGATTGTTCGTCTCTTTAAAACTGAATGAAACAGAAACGTGCCATGCTTTCCCCTTGCTTTTCACTTATCGCATTAAAGAGCGATCAATCATCATCGGTCGCCATCTTCAAACCGACTTTGTTCAAAGCGTAGATGCAGCTATTTGTACAAAGCTTCACAACTTGAAAAAAAATCCAAAGAACAACTTACCGGAACTTTTCACTAAACCGCGTTCGATGTATTTGAGATAGTTTAAAAAATCACAAACGGCAATTATCTGAAAAACAAAATCGTTACCCCTCAACCTTGAAACATAATAATCCACTTACTCTATTCCTACATATCTGTGATATGCTGTACCAGTTGTCTGGCTCACCAATATTCATTCGATAGAAACACAGCCTTGGCACCTCGAGTAAAGCGCATTTTCTGCAAACAAAAAATAACAATAATATTCAAAACGATAAAAAAACCGGCTTCATTAAATTTCCAATTATTTTTACCATCTATAAAACCCGAAGTAATCCGAAAACTTTAAAGCCAATTACAAACAACGACCAATAAAACAAACACTTACTTAGGAAACATAGCCTTCGTTCTGTCCCCCACAGCCTCAATGAGTATCGTCCCCGTTTCCACTGCCGCCTTCACCCTCCTCGACAGCTCCTCGTTATTAAAAGCCAAACACAGATCTATATCCTCCTCGTAGACCCTCCTCACGAACGGATCCTCCTTATCCAAACGCGGCTTCTGCCTCCACGCCAGGAACTCCCTGTGGAAATTCGGGTCCACCTCCAGCCCCTCCTTGCTCTCGACCTCGCACGGAATATGGTGCACCTCCTTCACCGGCGACTCGGGCGGCGAATTCTCGCGCCCGTACTTCAGGTTGAAGTGGCTCGGCGACCTGCGGTGCTTCTTGTTCTCCTCCTTCATGCGGCTGTCGATCTGCGGGTGCAGGTGCGGGTTCGGCCTGCTCGGCGTCGACGTCAAAACCAGCGTCTTCAGAGCCGCCACTTCCGCCGTCAGCACGTCCACTTTCATTTGGCTTTCTTTGAGGGACTTCTCGGCAGCCGCTTGCTTCTCGTTCGCTTCGCGGACCATGTTGTGGGCTTCCTGCGACGAAATGCGGGTTAGAGTGAGACGGGTGGAGGGTTTTATCTTACTATGTCGCGCCAATCTGTGGAAATTTTCTCGATTTCCGCTTTGAGTTCGAGCAAACTTCGGCTTAGCCCCTTCCGGAGGGGCGGCAACGGTTTGTTTGCCATCGGATTCGAATGGGTTTAAACGACGAAATTCGACTGAGGGGACAGGAAGATGATAATCTTTTGTTTAAACCGCTGCAGATACGCTGCGCGACTAATCAAATTAGCGTGTAAATGTTAGAGGTTGGCGCGTCATGGGTATGTATGTATGTATACTCGAGGGTGTTGTTGTTTTAGTGCGAGAATCCATTATAATGCATGAGCAGCACCCATTGTCGACATTTTATCGTTTAAACTGATAGGAAAAATGTCCGTTGTTGCGTGGAAAAAAGTAGTAATTAATTTAATGTCGAGAGATACATTCTTTGATCATTATGTCTTCTATAGATAGGGGTCACACTTATAAATATACAGGGTGAATCACTAAGCGCGGGTCTCTATGCCTCAGAAATTATTATTAAAGACGGAAAAATTATGTGTGCTTTTATTTCATACGCTAGTTAGTAATAAGTGCATGTTCTACGCAATGAATGCGTGCATACGAAATTATACTTATTTATTGAAAGTAAAAGAAAGTATTGACGGTGCATTTTTACGCTAGGTGTTTTTACAATTACCTGATTATTTGTATAATTAAAATGGTTCAATGAAACTGAGCATGACTTGCTGGCTCGCCATGCACCGAATACACAAAAAATGTATACTGTCTTGGTCTATCTGTCTGATTTTTATTAGATATATAATCTATCTACGACAATCATGTGGATGGTAAAGCGCCAACCAAAAATTGGCTAATAATCCCCACTGAAAATTTGATGACGTCATATCCAAAATTTACAACGGTGAATTTGTTTTTATTTTATAAAATAAGATATTCTTCCACTTGTAGTTTATGGATCCGTGTCGAGTTTTTACATCCAAATTTTTGGAAAAAAAAATCAAAATTGTGTAACAACAATTTAACTTTGAAACTGCAAAAGCGTATCCTCTGAAATCTTGCAAATGTTTTAAGGTAATCGTAAGCACGGTAAATCGTTCATCAAAATTTATTCGTTTCTCCCCTCCCAAGAAATTTATGACATTTCAAAATTTTGTAATCGGAAAAAAAATTGAGACAAACGTGTAGTGGGCTTCTTTACATTTACTTTATTAACATTACATGCTGCATATCTTTATTTTAATTTACAATTTATCATCAAAAAATAGAATTCGCAAAATCAAATTTTATAATTTTTAGAGAAATCTGGTTTTATTTACCTTCAAAAAATTGAAAAATCGAGAAACTGAAAAATCTAAAACTGAAAAAACGAAAAATTAAAACATCCAAAACTGAAAACCGATAAATTGAAAAATCCAAAAATTAAAAAACCGAAAAATTGACAATATCTAAAAAAACGAATAATTAAAAAATTCAAACTCGTGAAAATGCAAATCGGAAAATTGCAGTTGCAAAATCTAAAACTGAAATATGTATACAAAAGTTGGAAAATCGAAAATCTGGAACATTAAAAAATCGAAAAATTGAAAAATCGCAAACCGAAAAATTGAAAATTCCAATAACTGAAAAAATTAGACAATAAAAAACCTAAACGAAAAATAGCAAATCGAAAAACTGAAAAATTAAACATTGAAAATCGTAAAATTGAAAAAGTGAACAAATTTTAAAATTCTAATTATTAGATACATATTTAAAATGGAAACTAAAAAAAATGCAAAGTGAACAAATGAAAAATTAAAAAATCTGAAACAGAAAACGGATAAATTGAAAAATCCAAAAATTGAAAAACCGAAAAATTCAAGAAATGAAAAATTGACAATATCAAAAAAACGAAATTCAAAAGTTCGAAAACTGAAAAATGGAAGAAAAAAAAAGAAAAATTAAAGAACTGCGGGAGTGTTATTTACCCCACTTTTTTTTACGTTATAGAGGTTATCAGAAAACAAAAATCGCAATTTTTTTTTATAATTTTTCAGGAAAGCGGGATATATTGGGCTACACTTTCGGAGCGACGAAAGTTTTGTCGAAATAATCTCCATCTTTTTTTTTTCCTCTCTCTCTCTCGGAGTGTAAAGTGGTCCAGATTGTGGTTTATGCCCCGGCTGGAACCGCAATATCCACGGGAAACAAGCAATTTCGCAGTGGCCATTCTCCACAATCATGCAATATACTCGAACGTGCCCATTCCGAGACAAACATTGTTATCGTATCTTCTGCACGGAACGCCACATTATTGATTTTCTCGGGAGCATTACTACAAACGAAAAGTATTTCGCATGTCGACGACCATCATAAAGTGTAATTCCACAAAACCATAAACGCCCGACACTTCACACTGCAACAATTAACACGCAGAAATTTTTACGACTCGGGAACTAACCGTACGCCGAAACATTATGTTTTATGTTTACGCAATCGCATTAAAAAAATATCGCTCGTTGTCTGCCATGCGGCGGTCTTGCCTAATAAATTTCGCGTAATGCATGCAATTAAACCAGCGACAAAGCTACGGCCTGAATGCCGGAAATTTCGAATTAATTACACATTTAGAAAAGTGGCTCGTTATCTCGACGAAACGCGGTCACCCAGTCGATAAGAGAAAAATTTATAATGAAAAAAACAATGGATAATACATCATGAAGAGAAACAATGGCAGGAATAATAATAACGACCAAGGTGAAACGCGACTTGACCCACCTGTGGGTATTATACGAAAATAGCGTCGAAAAGTGGAAATGATCGGTATTTTCCGATCCGTGTCAAGGGTAACGGACGTCGCGCTCAATTGCACCCATCAAATTCTTAAATTTCTCCACCGCCTAATTGGGGGGTTTCCACTCTGTTTGTGTCGATACTCAATGTCATCTTCGCTTTCTAGACGCGAATTTCGTGGGAAAACGACCCTCGGCTCCGTTTACCGAACAGATGGAGTTGTAAAAGTGCGTGATCTCCACGCGATCACTCCATCTGTTCGGTAAACGGACTATAGGTAATTTTAATTCTGTTATGCACGTGAAATTGCAGCACTAATGCCGGATTATTTAGCATTCGTTCAACGTACGTACCTATGTAATAAGTCGAGTAGCGCGATTTACCCAACTTTCGACTTGCAACACTGACAAACTCCAGCCCGACAAAAAAATCCCCCATGACATAACCGAATTCAGTCCAGAATCCCAATTCCTCGCCCATCTTCACTTTCCCCGAACCCGAAAAATCCAAAACTCCGACTTTCGAATTTCGCCATTGTGAACTCGTCTCTTTAAATCCCCCGGTGAAAGTCGAGCGAACTCGTGAATAACAAAACACGATCACACGTCGGTCCGTTCCTGTGTAACCTTGCGGGTGAACGACCGGTTCCGCTCATTATCCGCATACTTGATTCAAAGTTCACCTGAAAGAGGCTCGCCGTCAGGTCCTCGAGTTCGGCTTCGACGTCCTGCCGTATCCTGGAGAGGCGGGCGACCTCCTCGTCTTTGAGCTTGAGCTCCTGGTGGGCGTCGCGCAGCTCGTCCTGGAGGCGGGCGAAGGTCTGCTCCTTGGCGCCCACCACCTGGCGGGCCCAGTCACCCTGGTCCTCGCCCTTGTCGAGCTTGTCCAGCCCCAGGTCGCTGTAGACCGAGCTGTCCGAGCTGTTCCGGTGCATCACCTTGTCGGTGATAGTGGCGATGTCCGAGAACGAGCCGAAGTCGCTGCTGTCATGGTTGAAGAGCTTGTTGGAGGTGACCCGGAGGTCGGGCTCGTCGATCTCGACGTTGTCCTCCTCGTCGGTGGTGTAGGACTCGTCGCCGGTGGTGCCGGTCGAGCCGGCGCGGCGGTGGTTGAGGATGCCGGCGGTTTTGGGGACCATGAGGAGACCCTAAAGATAAGGTGAGTATAACGAAACGAAATATTTATGAAATGCGGGTGAGTCAAAGTCGCAAAAGCACTATTTTCGTTGGTGCACTATACATAAAACAAGCAAAAATGGACAATTCTGCAGGATTTTTTTTAATAGAATTTCTAAATATAGCAGCAACGAGTGGATGGAAAATTTTCAGTCAATACTGGGTGCTTATCTCTCATCCAAAAAAAGACTCATTAATTTTCGGTATTTATTAAACGTCAGCCACATATTAATTAGGGTTTTAGCCAAACATTAAAGAACATGCATTGTACATGTTACTAAGAATTTATTTACAGGTGGGAATTACCCACACGACAAAATTGATTTTTCAAACAAAACTGAGCAACCTTTACCACGGAATTTAATGTTTCAATAAAAAAGGTGTTTTTATTTTCCGAGCGTAAAGATAGGGAAGTATTGTAACAGGATCCATTTAATTGCCGATTTCATCTTTTATCGACGTCAAATAACTTCTGAAGTATGAAAAAGTAGATCGCCCATTTCCGTGCCTGGTAGATGGTAAAATGCGAACCAAAATTTGTGTGATCATCTCCACCAACGATTTGACGTCATTTAAAAATTTTATAAAATAAAATGTTTATGTACTCGTGGTCTATTAATCCGTTCTCATTTTTTAGCTTCGACGAAACTAATTCGAATTCGCCCTTTTTCGGTTTATCTTCGATCTAACTTCACCACTTCAGTTTAGTACAATCCAAAGTATACCTTCCGTTATTTACACTGCCGGTTTTGCTTTCCAAGGTTTCACAATACACATACTGTGGAAATTACCGAAATTTACCAAAATATGGTAACAGTTTGCAACTCGTAAACTAATATGTGTTTATGAGTAAATATTTACCGGACCTTGTCGATTTTCGTGAGTCGTGAATCTGTGAACGGGTGACCAAAAGTGAGTGAGTACCTTGCTAAGGGGGCTCTTTTTCGAGCTGGGCGACGCCACCGCCGCCGTTTCTTTCATCGTCGACCGGACTCGATGGAGGAAGTCACTTCATTGTCCGGCCAGCTCTGCAAGAAAAGAACACGCTGAGATTGTGCAGATTTCACTCGGAATTAATAGTTTTGGTTTAATTGTTTCGACACGGATTCTTTTTCTACGTTGGAGAAAACTGACGCACATCATTGAGCTGGACGAAAATAGCGATTCTCGTTTGCGTCAAATGAAAAATTGGATAAAAATAACAAACGTGAAGGATAATTTAAAAAATAAAAAAAAAACAGGGGGACTTTCGAAGTAGTTTTTACGTTCATAATGCGGTTATAAGATCTCATAAAATAAGATAACATAAACTCGAGTTTGTGGACGCCTCAGATTCTTTTTTTGCCCGAAGAAGCAGTTTTTCTGCGTAGTCTTGTTTTTAAAATTACACTTACCGACCTTAAGGAGCGACTTTTGACCGGCTTAGCCCACCGTGTAACGGTTTTATTTACGCGGACTTGCTGTTATTCATAATTAATGCGATAACGACTCAGGCGACTTGATTATTCTATAATAGGAAAGACCAGACTGACGTCAGAAATACGATTTTGGGATGTTTGTCGTATTCTTGAACGTGAATATTTTAGAGGTTTGCGTGAATCATGTCAACCTAGTTTCAGATGAAGGGTTTCGTCGAGGGAGACCGACGACCGGACGTCCAGATAAAATCGATCGCTGAGGATTAATTTTATCTAATCGAATTTTAAACCTTCTGGATAATCTGTATGGATTTAATTTCAATGAAAATTTCAAATATAAAAACATACAGGCTTTCAATATAACATGGAGTCCTTATATAACTAGCTTGTGTTTTACGAAATTCTGTGACAAAATTTGTAAAGTTCTCTAGTTTACTGCGTCATAACCAAATAGACCAGTTAGAAAAGGGAGTAGTCCTTTGATATGAAGGTGAGTGCAAAAAAGATGTTGACACCCGAAATTCTTGAAACAAAATACGCCATTGACAAGTAATGGCACTACGAAAACGTCAAAATATAATTATTTCAAGGATTATTCCTTGGTTTATCAGTTTCTAAATTATACACCTGATAGACGCCAGATGAAAGTGACTATTAATAAAAATGAAGACGGCTCATAAACCTTGATGCGAACTTCTACGTACTTGTATGTATGTATTTACAAAATTTTATTTATTTCATTTCTTGTGAATATCTCTGAAGTTGCGCGAATGGCATCAACCTACTTCCAAAGAAAGTTTCTCTAAGAGAATGGTAGTTCAAACATCTGACCAAGTGATCAATTATCGCTATTAATATTTATCAAATTTCTAAAAAGAAAAACTGAGACGACCCTAATCCATACACCCCTTTCACGAGTTCCAACGACCTAAACACACTCACAACAGTAATTACTTTGGTACATACATATTTACCTTAGAACAAATTCGCATATACAAAGGACGCCAGTGATCTGCATTGGACTTTAGCCACCAATAATGTTATTTCTGCTCTTTAATTTTTGTTTATCTGGCACGGAAATGGGCGAACTTTCAAAACTCGAATCCACTCGAAATTACTATTTGTGAACAAACTTTCGGACCGTGAAAATTCCAACGTAAATAATTCCATCAGCATGAAAACGCTAATGAGACAAGATTCTGCACACACAAATGTCAGTGGCGTCGCTGTGACCCCGTTGACCTTAACCATCCTCTTTAAAAAAAAAACACCCGAAAGGGCAACCTCCCCCGTTTTCCATTAAACCCGACCTCGGCATTGGCTCGTAATTCACAAACTCGAAACGATTCGACAAATTTGGGAAAGGTTAAGAGTGCCTTCGGGATATTACGTAACCGACTCCCGAATAGACACCTAACGCAATTTAATAGTGAAACGGCAAAAAGGTGTGAAAATGCCGTTTGTAATAGATAATATGGAGCGTGACGCCGCAACGAAAGAGAAAAACGCAACCATTGTAAAATTGATAAACCAAACAAAAAAAAGTTGAATGGAATTCCGCAATTGTGCCTTTTCTCCTCCTCGAATGCCAATTTTCATTTTCTGGTCACGTCGAGCCCCATCGTAAACCGCCGAGTAAACATCGCTCTGTAAAATTCATAAACCCAGCGCAAAATATTTGGATTATCTCCGGCGTGTGTATTTATTATAACTCAAGGAATTGGCCGGAAGGGCACAATTTTGTAATCACTGACACCATCAACGCATTCCGTGCACGTCCGCCATCATCCGAGCACACATTTCTGGCATTATTATGACCTCTGGACACTCACCCTGTATAAGAAAATACAATCGAAGTAGACGCGCTCCGGGACAGTGTACACTCTCAAACACGGCTCGACTCTCACTGCGTCTCGCGCTTTCCACGGGATGCGAAGAACGCCCGTTGCTTGGCAACGCGCAAGGGGGAGCACCGGGTCCGCTGCTGTTTCCTATTGCGAATATTTTTTTGTTTCGGGGTGGATCGAATTACGTTTTAATTAATCGGATGTTTTTTTTTCTCGTGTACCTTGAATCTGTTATCGCGCCAATGCTATGTAACGCAAAATCGGCTGTCCTAGATAGCGGAATCCGGTGCCTGGCACTGACAGCGCTGTACCGGCGATTAGTGAAAGGTAGGCATTGTGATGATGATGGCGAGGAGCAGGCACGTGAAGGTTCACGAGATGGAAGCCATGGTAACGCGTCGGTGGAGGTCCAGGGGGAAATTCGAGTGAACTTTGGTATTTGGAGGAACGGTGGTGATAATGAAGTAATAAAGACGAGGAAGGCCACGGTCGGAGTGTTTGGCGATGACACATCGGACGCAATTAACCCACATTGTGGATGACTGTAGGTCTGGTGTGGGAAGGGCTACAATTTCGAATTTTATGAGATCGTTTTTTCGGAGATTCGTAAAAGAGAAAAGTCTAATGATGTTGCAGGAAGTGTTTCAACTATAATTTTGGGTTTTGGTAGATCTACCGTTTTTTGCATGTCTAAAATTATGGGAATACCCCTTGATAATTACACTGCGTGATGGCAAAAAGTGGGGATTCCATTATGACATAACAGTGCTTAAATGCTGTGATTAAGTATTGGGTGTATAATGCCGATGTACTTAAATGCTTTAGACGATGTGGATTAAAACGAAGATGGATCTTTTGGAATGTTAAACGATGAGATTGGTGTTATTTGAAGGTTCCTGCATTTGTTAATATGGCCATCGTCGTTCTTAATAGAATAAGATGTCACGCGATTGAAGGAAAAAATAGGCAACAAGTAGAATAAGCCGCCATTTTATGCCACATCAAGGTCACAAACTTTTTCAAATGCAAATAAGCTAATTTTATTGAAACTGGGGAGAGGTTTGACCCAAAGTCTGGCTTCAAGAAAATGTGATAAAGCTTCCTTTCGCTTATCTCTTTTCGTATTAATAATGTTTACATCTGCGTTTTCAAGGAAACTAGCGGACAGTGGTCTTTCTCAGAATATCTTCGTAGGTTTAGTTCTTTGTTCTACAGAAATTATACAGATTTATTTTTAAATAGAGCAAATTTGCTCTCATCATTTTCAGTTTCGACAATTCTATAACGTCTTGTCGACGAAAACACGTACTGAATTTATAGAAGGCGATCCAATTCAATCGATCAATATAGGACAAGGACAACATTTCCAGTTATAATTAATAGAATAACTTAAAAACGAGTTGTCACATATCCAACGTCCAATCCCTCAATCACGCCATAGAATTTTAACGGAAACAATAATAATGTTCTGAGTATACACTAGTCCAGAGAACTGTGTTTACTTCCCGAATGTAAGCTAAGGATCCATCCGACGAAAGGCTAGTTTCATGTTTTTTCGACGTGTCAAGACCTCTACAGTACGATACAATAAGTCACCCATTTCCGTCCGTTTATCCGTCTGATTGGAGCATCTGGAAATCGGGAATTTTTCAGGAAATCAGAGCGCTGGCGCCCCATTCCAAATTTTATATACTTTTAAATTAAGTAAATTTCGGCTTTTCAGGGGCTGATCTAAATTTTTCCCGCGCTGGTTCAACCGGTCTCCTCCATCCGCCGTTGATTACGGGACTCCGAAATTCTTTCAAATTACTTCAAAAACAAAACAAAAAAGGTCCCCGAGATTCTTGCTGCAAAAACAAAACAGAAAGGGTCTCGAAGATTCTTTCAAATTACTTCAAAAACCATGTACAAGGACCGATGGAACCATTTGAAAATCGGGAATTTTCCAAAGGCGCCAGTAGCCGCTGTACAGCAGAACGCCGATGCCCGAATCCAAATTCTAGATTATATACATATATTTAAATGAAGTAAAATTTCGTCTTTTCAAACACCAGTCTGTTGATTGTCCAGACTTTTATTAGACAGGTGATAGTAGTCATTACAGTAGTACATTTTATTTAAATTTTATAAAATGCACTTGAAGGCTGTTGGGAGAAAACAATTAATGTCACATTTTTATTGTTTTTTTAATTATTAATAATTTTACACAAATTCAGTGAGCATTTTTTTTTAATGTTGTAAAATGGAGATTTCTTTAATTTTTGATTTGCAATTTTTCAAATTCTCATTTTACCGGGTTTTCTTTTTGGTCACTCATTTTATTGGACGAAAAGTGCATTTTATATTGAACAACAGTGCAATCTTGACGTTTTCCTATAGATAAATATCTGAACAGAATAGGGACCTGGACATTCACAGTTTTTTCCCAACCGTGTCGGTACTTCGTTCAAATTTCATTTTCTATTTCTATTATGTTAACCTTTTGTTTCTTGTTCAATGTTCATACAAAATAAAGTGTTGTTCGACTTCAACAATTTTTGTGTAAACTATCAAAATATAATGTGCGTTAATTAAAAAAAAAAAATTTTCAAAGATTACATTTTATATATCTCGATTTTTAAGCAATGTGACATTCATTGCTTTCTCCTGACACCCTTCACTTGTGGTTTATGAATCCGTGTTGAGTTTTTACCCGAGGCATCCAGAATTTTGGGGAAAAATGAAAATTTTGTAACATTTTAGCTTTGAAATCGCAAAACCAAATTCTCATCCAAAATAATACTCGGGACAGTTTACTCCACTGTAGCTTAATAATTAATAATGTCGAAATATAAACATAAACAATTGAAGTTAAGCATGTACTGAGAATACATTTTTCCCGTTGATTATCTACTTTAAATATAGTTCATTTTTTCCTTGAAATTTGCCCTCGATTCCCGCCCCTGCGGCCAATTTTTTATCTAAATGACTTTGACAAACTAACGTTTGTAATTTTAAATCCGTTACAAAAATTACAATGAGCTTTCCCAAAAATCAATATTGTTATCTGGACAAAGGTTATTAAAGCCTTAAATTATACCATTGAATCCGGGTGGGAGAGTTAATGCTCAATTATAACATCGCTTTCAATTGATGAATCGCAAATTCATGAAAGCAAAAGAGCTGTAGCTGTGCAAAATCACACAATTTCTCTTCACTGCGAAATGTAATGGCCCCAAAAAAACCGAACTATTCAAAGCCCAATAATAATAATCGACATTTTGAAAACGTATAATTTAAAAATAAAAAAAAAAATGCTAATTACGGAAGTCATGCACTTTCGAGCGAAAAAGGAAAATTTAATTGAAACGAACACACTTTTTAATTAAAATATTGGAAACGAGTGAATGTACGTACTGACGACATGGCATGCAAATTCTTCGGTTCATTTTTTTTTAGAAAAAAGCATCAATATTAAAGTGACACTCATTTTCTTGTAATTTGCGTGAGTCATAACATAAGAACTTGCCAACTTCCTTTTTTTTTCTAAATACATTAATCGACTCGAGTCAAGCTGTCATTTTCTACGAAACCGATGGGTGGCGAGTATGCATAATGGTGTTCCGCATAATCAGCTCGATGAATAATACCCCACTACGGGTTGGACATTTTTCGGTTGCTAGGATTTGTAATTATTACGACACAGGATACCGAACAATTGACGACATTGCGGTGACGGCATAAGGAATTTACCGAACTAATTTGAACCAAATCTTAAGTAACATTTAAATAACATTTAACACTAGTTGCAGTATGAAAAATCCAGCTCCACGTGTGACCTCCACTCTCCGCATCCCAGGATTCCATCTCGCGAAGTTGCATCGAAACAGGATGCAACCTTGACATTTACAAACATTTCCGCAATAACGCGATGAAAAAAACTCGTACCAAGCTACCAGATAGTACCTTGTCAACTCCACTATTTTCACACGAAACTCGTACTGACTCACTCTAAATCAACAAATCACTGATAACCCCGTCCTTTATCTCCAAGTCAATCATCCTCATTGTAACACCACGAACACAAAGAACCCATGCATCCGTCTTTCCCACAAAATCACCTTTATTCTAAACCACTCCAAAAGCAAAAATTTTCAATTCCAACTAGACCCGAGCCCACCAAATCCACTCTAATCCCATTATCGCGCCCCGACGCCAAATCGCATTACGATCGAGCTCCCGATCCCCCGAAACTGGAAAACATCATTCTGATAATCATCCGCAAACAAAGTTTATTTGTAAACATTACGAATAAACACACGATTCTTCGAATTTCTAGCGTCTAACCTTGGCCGATGCAAATTGATCTCGGCTGGATTTTTCGAATTATTTTCGGCCGAAATTTCCGGCCTTGGAGCCGTGACGTGCGCCACAATCATGCATGCAAGGAATTTTTACACAAGTGGGAGTCGGGCTTTAATCCGGGTGGAATGCGAGGCGGCGGAAACGGAGATCTGCTTATCTTGTGCGTTTTTAAGGGAGAAATTGGAATCACGCAACGGAGGTCATCGCGCTCGACAATTTTCGAATTGTAAAAACGCGCTGACAGAAAACGAGGGGCATTTTGTTTGAGCACAACCGGGTTTTTGTTAGAGACGTGGATCTTACCTTGAGGATTATGAGACAATGATTTCTCTGCGGACACTGCGATGGAATGTTTACACTCTATGGTTTACACGCTTCTGCACGAGCATACTGATTGGATCGGTTTGACACATATACTACAATGGGAACACGGGATGTGACATGTGGAACGAGGGGCGCCATCTAGGAACGAGTAGCAAAACATTCAAATTTCGCGACAGGAATCGACTCTTAGCGTATTGTTGTTTGCCTACGTGCACATTTTTTAAAACTTATTCTTTATAATTTATTATTTATTGTAAGTAAAACATAACTGACAGTATAGTTTTAAATTAAAGATCATCCACTTCGTCAGTATAATTCTGGATAACTTTCATAAGTGGCGCATAGACTAGTTGGGCGGCGTGTTTGCCAAAAAGGAAGTCCACGTGGTTGAAAGCATCAAGGGGCACTTTATACACCCCGATGTTGTTAGTTAGGTTGTGTGACAGCCGAATGACGTCCTAAAACACATCAGTTAAACAAAAAAAAAATGCCTCCACTAAACCAACTCACAATATAACTAGCCAGCCAATCATTTTGCGCATATATAATGTAAATCTTCGCTTTGATGTTAAGTAGCTTGTACTCAGGCGGTGTCAACCTTCCGTATTTGACCATATTTCCCTCGGGACCGTAGTCATACTGTTGGAATTTCCCCTCATTTTTAATCTCCTGCGCAAAGTGCAAAACCGTCTTCGTGGAAGTTCCCGCCGGATCATGGTTCAAAACGGTCGGCAAAAGCGCCATATTAAATTCGTCTTTGTCGAAACCGAACAGCGAAAAAATAACGTCCTTACATATAGTTTCGTCGATCTTCAACAAATCACAGTCATACGACAAAAACTTCATAATTTTATTATTGGGTAGGAACTGATTCACACCTAGATACTTCGCCAACCATTCAATGTCGTTGACAAAAGGCGATAGATACCTAATGGGCGACTTCACATGGGTCATGTACGCCACCGGTGCCAGCGCTACCATCACCTTGACGTTTTTAACAACCTGTGGCTTAATAGACGAACAAACGAAAAACATAGTGGTACCCATGGAATGCCCAATGTAGATAATTTCGCCGGGTTTATTCGTCGTGTTACTAACGTAGTAAAGGGCCGCCGGTAAATCATGAATCCCCATTTCGTGCCAACTGAAGTTCCAGAACTGTGCACTATTGACGGACAGATTGACGTGGGCTTTGGAGTACGTGTTGCCGCGGGCGTTACCCATCCAGACGTCATAGCCGGCGTCCGCCAACAAGAACGCTGTTACCGTTACCATTTATTAAATTAAATAATAATAATAATAATAATAAAAGTCGAGGCGCACCTAGCGAGTTGTTGCCCTCGGTGACCCAGTCGGCGCTGCTCGAAAGGAGGCCATGTTGCAAAAACACGGGCTGTCCCCCTTTCACCCCCGTTTTAGGCCCCGGGATGCGATGTATCCCAAGAATGTACCCATCGTCGGTCGTCACGAAATGGGTCTCGGCTGGGTAGCCGTGGCGTCTGGCGATTTGGGGCTGACAAAGGGGTGAGAACGTGAACGATGGTGAGATTGTGGCTTACCGTGGTCAAGTCGGCGTCGGGGTTGTAGGGGCACTTTTCCAACGACTCTATAGAACAAGTGGAATTCGACGGAATAATTTCGCACTTGATGGCCGGCAGAAGCAGCACAACGAGGAGGAAGTGCATCGCAGCCGGCTCTCGGATAACCTAACTTCGGTGCCGAAAAACGGTTTTACGTAGATTATCGGAGGAGAAGTGTTACGGTCTGGGTTTCGAAATTAGAATCGCTAATGAGGTTTTTGTGGGTGCTCTTGTGTTTAATTCGCATGCGGGATTTTATTAACGAGGGAATAATAAATAAATGAGTCAAACCGGAGCTTGCGCTTATCGGTGTTATTAAAAATCGATGATGCAAGGGGCAAAGTCAAAGATACTGAAAAACAAGAACACGATCTGCGTATATTGAAACGTGAATATTTATATTTATACATTTATAATAGTGTGCGAATGAGTGGAAAATAACACTCTTTAATTACATTTATTTTTAAATAACAAACACTTATTCGTTTGTTGGTCAATATTAGCAACCTCGATGACTCAAATATTGATTCGGGTGATTTTTCGAAAAATCATCCAGCAGGGCTGCCAACATAAAGAATTAATTGCGACCCGAAGCTTGACCCGTCGTTGTCAAAAAACCCATTTATCCGTTTACTCATTAACATTGCTAGCCAAATCTGTAATCCATGCCATGGTTGAAATATTCTAATTCGAATTCCATTATGTAAAAAGCAACACCACCTAGAAAGGCGTGGGTAAAAAGTCGCTAATCAGTGCCGCCAACTTACGTAATGTTGCCCACCCTGAAGCTTGACAGCTGTCATTGTCAAAATGCTTTTCCAATAACAACAACAATGTTTGTATCGCATTATAAATAATTAACATCATCGATTTTACGAAAAATGGGGAGCGAAAAGGTACGTCAACCATTAAATTTTCCTTCACAACTCGAAATTAGCGCAACAACGCACCCCGAAGTCACAATCCACCGGCTAACCTAAAAACGTCCCGTTTCTAGCTTTTATTTCGCTTGGAACAGCCCCATGGGACCGGTGATATTTACATAGCATGGCAGAAAGGATCTGGAATGTATCTAGCAACAACTGGAATAGATTCAATGGTTAATATTTTTGATAGGTATGGGCAAATACAGGACCGGATTAGACTACCAAGGTAGGCTTCCACGAGCTTGCAGTTCCGTAATAACGAACGCGGTTGCAGTCTGTGTACTGGGTTCGGGTGGGACTCGGACGGCGATCTCTTAGCCGTCATCTGTCAAGCCCCCCAGTTAACTCTATGGGACGCCAATACTCAAAAAAAAATACAAATTGACGTGCGATTAAAAGACCAGATGTCGTGTTTAGTGTGGGCGAAAACTACCCCAATGTTGGCCGTGGGGACTTGCAAAGGCAACGTCTCTATTTATAATCACAACACGTCAAAGTAAGCTCACACTTTCAGTGTAACCATAAGTGATCAAAATTTTTAGGCGCACCCCTATTATAGGCAAACACACCAAAAAAATAACCTGTGGGGTGTGGAACACCGAAAATTTACTCGCCCTTGGTTCCGAAGATAAAACAATATCAATTAGTAACCTAGATGGAGACACTTTGAGAGTGATCAATTTGAGGGCTGAACCTTCTGAGATACATTTTTCTGAAATGAAGCTCGATGAGCGAATGGGGGGCGAAAACACCGTAATAATCACATTATTGTTTCTACAACCACTAATGATTCTTCCACAGGTCAGCGTCATTGTAGGCAAACGCACCCTCTATCTATACAATTTACTAGATCCAGACAACCCTATAGAACTCGCATTTCAACAACATTACGGCAACCTCGTCACTTATAAGTGGTTCGGTGACGGCTACATTCTCATAGGTTTCACAGGTGGGTATTTCATAGCGATCTCCACTCACATCAAAGAAGTGGGACAGGAATTGTTTCAAATACGCAACCACAAAAGCACACTCAATGACATTACGGTGTGCGAAAAAATAGGAAAGGCGGCCTCTTGCGGCGACAACAAGTATTAAATCGGCGGTCAAACTTCCAAACTTGATTAAAAATTTTTAGCGTTAAAATCCACGACTTGAGTAACCTTCAGGAAACTTCTAGCGTTCTGTCTTTATCACAGGAGGCCGGTCTAGAGAGAATAAGTTGGAGTGTTGATGGCCAGTTGTTTGCGGTGTGCACCAGAGGCGGCTCGTTGAATGTATACGTCTCTCACGTGCCTCTACTGACCTCAGTCTGTGCCCCCAGGATAGCCATCCTGTCGAGCTTGACAGAGATAAGCTTGTACAATTACTCGTCTGAGAAAGTAATTATGATTGGTGAGAGTGGGCGGAGCTGACTTTGGTGGGCGGGGCTAGCTGTTGATTTCAGAGAGCACATTCATTGTCAGTTTTGTTCACTACAGTACTCTTATTAAATTGTCCGTAACTTTCCGCTTGACGTTCTTGCCGTTTTAGGCGAAGCTTAAGCCCATCGCTATCACTTTGGAAACGGAGCCGAGCTTTATCGCAGTGGGTCCTTATCACATAGCGGCCGGTATGAACAACAGAGTGTGGTTTTACGATTTGACGCGGCCCCAGCCGGGGGCCGACGACGCTCCCTTGATGCTTAAAGATAGACAGTACCTTGGGGGCGTCACTAGTATTAAATTAAACCCGGAATATGCGTCGGTTCTGTTCGAGGGAAAACTCCAGCTGCATATGGTATATGGTAGCATGGGGCCAACTCCTCGACACTTTCGTTCTGTGTTTTTAGATCGAACAGCCCGAAGTTTGTCACGAAGATCGCGAGACCATCATGTTTCCCGATGCGAATTCGCCGAATTTATTCATAACTTGCCATGCTCTGACGACTGACTTTTTAATCTACGGGACGGATATGGGAAACATTGTGTATTTTCACGTGGAAGAGTGGGCTGTGGCGACTGAGTACTCGCACTCGGTGGGTATAACGAATATTTTTAGCGATCCGGCGGGCAGTCGGATCATTTTTGTGGATATTAAGGGGCTGGGGTACGTCTACAATGCTGTGAGTAGGTGATAGGTGGCGCCACTTGTACTGTAATATAGTGTATTCAAGGTGATAAATGAAGTTGTTGCCATACCAAACCTACCCAATAAAGTGTCTGGAGCTACGTGGGACAGCAACATCAACGACCGCAATATTTTTTTAGTTCACGACCAACACGACATCTTTACGTACGTGTACGTGAAATATTCAGTCCACGGTTAGTTATGTCGCACCAAATTCAATTAAAAAGTCACTATTTTATTGAAAGGTCCCTCAGTTGAGAAAATCGGTCAAACCTCTCTAGTTTCCAAACAGACCCCGCTTTTAATGTACTCCGGCGAAGTGATATCAGCGACATCTGGCGGCCAAATCAGTCGCCTTATGCTCAACACCCACGACTCGCACCAAGCCGGTATAAGCGAACGGGAGCACACCATTCTAGAATCCAACTTCCACAAACAGATAGCTTTGCACAGGTAAATAACTACTTTCGTTTTACGGAAATCCCGTGATAACTTCTTAGGTTTTCCGCTGCGTGGAACACATGCGAAGTTCTTAAATCGGACGACTCCTGGCGAAAATTGGCCGTCGAAGCCATAAAACACCTAGAAATCGACTTGGCCATTCGTGTTTATAAAATGCTGGAGGACGTCTCGATGGTGTGGTCTTTGGAGAGCATCTCCGGGGTGGAAGATTCCAAGCTACTCTGCGGCTACGTTTCCATGTTCCTTGAGGACTTCGACTTAGCGCAGAAGTGGTTCCTGGAGTCGAGTTACCCAGTGGCCGCTCTTGAAATGCGCCGCGATCTGCTCCAGTGGGACCAAGCTCTACAACTGGCGAAAAAAATGGCGCCCGAGCAGATCGCCTTAATTTCGAGAGAGTACGCCCAACAGCTCGAATTCACGTAACTTCCAGCACGTTTTGTGTGTTCTTTTGATGACGGTGTTTCCGCAGCGGGAATTACTCGGAAGCGCACATCCACTACGAGAAAGGTCTACAGGAGAACTTAAGCCGCGAACACACCTACATTTGTAAAGCGGGGATAGCGAGAACCGCTCTCCACTGTAACAATCATCGCCACGGTATCAGTATAGCTTTAGAGTTAGACAACAAACAACTCCTACGGGAGTGTGCGGAGATCCTCGAAAAGAACAAACTGTTGAACGACGCCGCCATGTTGTTCGAGAAGTGTCACAATTACGATCGGGCAGCCATGGCTTACATTAAATTGCGAAACTGGCAGAAAGTCGGCGACATTTTACCGAAAGTATCTTCGAATAAGATTCATTTGCAATACGCGGTTGCTAAGGAGAACGAAGGTAGGTATGACGAGGCAGTCGGGGCGTATTACACGGCCAAGGACTTCGATTCGGTGATTCGACTACAACTCGAACACTTGAACAATCCCGAGATTGCGGTGGAACTCGTCCAAGAAACGAAAAGTGTGGAAGGGGCGAAACTCGTGGCGAAGTTTTTCCAAAAATTGAACGACTACACGTCCGCTATTAAATTCTTGGTGTTGTCGAAATGCAACGACGAAGCGTTCGATCTGGCGCGAAAACACGGAAAAATGCAACTCTATGGAGAAATACTTCTGAATACACTGTCCCCGGATGAGTTGCGTCCGCAGGACTTCAACAGCGTAGCCATGCATTTCGAGAACGAACGCAACAGTCTGCTAGCCGGCACGTATTGGTTCCACGCCAAAGAGTACGCAAAAGCCATGAAACATCTACTAAAAGCCGCTAAATCGAACTCGAAAGAAAACGAAGCCATCACTGCAGCCATAGACGTAGTGGCTTCTTCAAAAGACGAAGCCTTGTCAGCGCAACTGATCGAGTTTCTTCTGGGAGAAGCCGACGGCTTACCCAAAGACCCTAAATACCTATTCCGACTATACATGGCGCGCAAACAATACAAAGAAGCATCCAAGTCGGCGCTGATCATAGCCAACGAAGAACAAATCAACGGGAACTACCGCAACGCGCATGACGTGCTTTTCGCCATGTACCAAGAACTAAAACAGAACGGCATCAAAATCCCCAGCGAAATGCAAGCCAATCTCATGCTCTTGCACAGTTACATTTTGGTACGACTGCATGTTCGGCGGGGCGACCACCTAAAAGGGGCGCGGATGTTGATCAGGGTTGCCAACAACATCTCGAAGTTTCCGTCGCGTAAGCCACAACAAACTTTCACTTTCGGTTGGTATTTTTTTTTTTTTTTTGTTTGTAGATATCGTTCCAATTTTGACTTCAACAGTCATCGAGTGTCACAGGGCCGGCCTCAAACACGCCGCCTTCAAGTACGCTACGATGTTGATGAACCCCGAGTATCGCAAAAACGTCGACGCCAAATACGCGAAGAAAATCGAAGCGGTGGTCAGGAAGCCTCCGAAGAGCGGCAAAGACGGTGACGTCGGGGATCCGGTCGAACCGCTGACTCCATGTCCGTACTGCGAGAATTTGCTCCCCGAAACAGAAGTGAATTGTATCAACTGCAAGAATAACATCCCGTTTTGTATAGTGACGGTATGTAGGGGATAAGTGGGTGCGTTGCGACTGATTGTTGTTGCGTAGGGTCGCCATATCGTGACGACTGACTTGACGGCGTGTCCGGAATGCGATTTCCCGGCTTTGAGGCCTGCGTTTATTGAGTAAGTCGTTCGAGGTGTGGTTGTTAAGGTGACGGTTGTGTTGTAGGATCCTCGACAACGAAGATAGTTGCCCCATGTGTTCGGAAAAAGTGGATTCTCGAAGATTGCCTAAAATCGACGATTTTAAACCATACTTAAATGTTGAATAATCATTGATCTCATTGTTTGAGTATTATTTATTTATTTATTTTAGTACAATTAGTTTTTAGGGAATAGATCCGTCCATAAGTAACCAGTGCCGTCCTTGTGTAGTGCAATAGCTGTTAAAAGAAGGAAATATACATTTTAGAAAGTTCATATGTTTTTTATTGCGAATAAACAAGAAAAATTCATGTGAAGTATCATTGCTTACCTCAAAATTCGAGGAAAAAACACTAACTGAGACATCCGATTATTGCCATAATGAGTATAAGAAGAGACTACTTTACTCGAATACGTTTCTGTATCAGACACACTAATCTGATCTCGCACGCCTCCTTGGGCGTCTCGAATTTTGTTACCCTCTCATGCATGCAGTAGCATTTACTGCCGTCGCGTAAACTCCTGAGTCGTTGGCCCCCGTTGACTGTTTTGGCAGAAAACATTCGTGTCCAACTTCCGAGCGATGTTATGAGCGATAAAATCCGAAATAGAAATCCCGTCTCCAATAATAATTTATTTCCCGATTCCCTCCCGACATCCAGATGCATCCCCGACCGTTTAAAATAGGAAATTTAACTGGAAAAATGCGTGTTTGACGTTCCGTTTCCGCAACTGGGAGGTTAATTTCATTTTAATATTGCGGTCGCACGCCGCATCTATCGGAAAAGAATTAGGCGCCATTTGGTTAGTCGATGGTCCCGGGAGAGGGTGTCGGATTCGATTCCTCCTACTATTAGCATAATTCCGAAGTTGCGGCCTCTTATAATTCGATGATAAATGCGTCGGAAGACTTGAGATATCCGAGGGTCACTCCCAGGAGTTGGTAATGGGCGCCGCGACGCCGCTCCGAGGGCCTTCCCGATAGATTACACCGTCGGGATTCGAACTTGCCAAGTTTCCTCTTAATCCGTGATTTGCAAATGGCCGATCCCTTCGCGGCCCCACATTACCCGGAAACGTTCCGGGGTCATTAAAAATGGATCGGGGCCCGCTAAGTTTCCGGACTGCGCAACGACAAACTTGGCCCGAAAGTAACGAATCTATAATTATGGCCCGTTATTTTACTTCACAATATTTCGTTCGTCCTCTCAACGTCAATTAACTTCGCACGTTTTTTCCAAAGTTAAATTGTAACCGTTACAAACTGGACAGTCTTTAATTTAATCTCCATACACATAAGTACACAGCTGTTGGATGTATATGTTGTGCATAATAGCTACGTCAACTATTAATTTTTGTGATTACTTACTTTGATTTTTCATCACGACGATATAAATTAAGCTTTCCGCTTAATTGTAGAAATATTAATAACATTAATAATAATAGTCGTAGCTGTGTTATCTAATTTGTGTCATTTTTTTTCCGCTGCTGAGGTTTTTCGTCACCGGATCCTCCGTCGTCCCCACGTTCTGGCTCCGGATGTTATCGGAAACTTGTGCAAATTAATTTCATTAATTAAAGGCATACCGAAATTAAGTGAGTCGGGCGGTGGTCTGCGACGTACGTCTTTAGAACGCGTCGCGGGAGCGACGAATCCGACGGAATTGGGGTTGTAAAGGGTGCAGCGTTATACCAAGGTCTACATACTTGAGTGGTATAATTTAAGCCGGTGCTCGAGAAGTGTTCTCGTGTTATATGTGTGTAGGTTGTGCGGTGAGGGATGCTTAGGATACTTGATTTTTTTCACCTTTGTGCAGCAACCGTTTTTCTCGGAATTAAGACGGGTTAGGTAACGGAGTGGCTTGCAATAATTAAATTATCTTTAATTATTGCTTGCTCTGTACATAAAATGATAAATTGCAGAATTCCAGAGTCAGAATTTAATACCTATCTACTTGTAATGAATGAGAAACTATTTCAATTATTTTCAATTTTGATTTAGCGTGCTTCGTTATTTCCCCGTTGTTTTCAATTAGCGAAGTTATTAATTAAATATTTTATTATTTTATGGACTCTTTTATGTGCACGCTTCATGAGCGTGTATAGTTTCGAATGAACAAAAAACTCGATGATTTAATTTTATAAATTGATTGAAAACAATGCGGGGGTGCTTTTGTTCGATAGATTAACGAAAAAATTATTTCCTACGTGCACGAACCGCGCTGTTTACAAGCAGAGGTTTCATTTTATTTTGTATCTATTACATTGGTGAGTTTATTTTTTTGTTTCGCCCAAAAGATTAAAAATTATTTATTTATTCTTATTCATCAGAGATTTTGAGAAAGTAATAGTGCGCAGTAGCACTATCTTGTAGAAACCATAAATTTTATACTGTTTGAAATGTGTCATAATGACCCTATTATCGATTATTAGTTATTAAAATGATTTTATGAAACTAATCGAGTACAGCTACTAGTCTTTTACGCGTATCGAAGTACGAAACGTGTCCGACATAGAACGTTTTTAAACCGGTAGGTTTGTACGTGTGCAATATATATTATCGCATCCCCTGTCATCTTGTTCGCAAAACCCTCCGCCCTGAAAATAATTTAATTAAAAAAAGCCGTCGAATTGACATTCAATTTATTGATAAAACAATGGCGTCGTCCGCTGGTGAGCTCATTCTCTCCTCCGGACACGCCATTAACCGTCTGTCATCGCAGCGACCGATAAGAAAAACGCGAAAATTTATAAATTTCCACCTCATCCCCGATCCTCGCAAAGAACGAATCCGCATAAAGTTAATGGAATCTTAATTTTTAATCTCGCAAACACAGAGAGATTTTATTTTATCTCTCATAAACAAGGCAATTCCCGACTTTTACCTCATAACCTCCGGCTGAAATTTCTAATTAATGTTCTGTATGAAATTTAATTACGCAATACTCTCGAACACAAGGATCATAAGTTGTGCTTTTTCTTGTTCGTCGCCGATTCTTCAGATCACGGCCAAAACCACCCCCGGCGGCGCCCCGCCCACTTCGTCGAAGTTGCTACAAGAAACCCAACGAACTTTGATGTTTGGAAACGGCCAAAAATCCCCCCTCTTTTTAATTTAAACACGTGTCATAGTAATCTGGTCGACAAACACCGATGAGCGATGACGCCACTATATCATCGTTCATTTATAGTAGGGTCATAGCCAGCGGCGGCTCGGGAGGGCGACGAAACCGGATTTAACACAAAAATCATTTTTTTCACATCGACGAAACCACTCCTAGAGTTTCAAGTATTGGTTTTCAGTTGCTGTTTTTGTACAACTCCATCTGTTCGGTAAACGGAGTACAGTTGCCGTACCGATAGAAGTGTTGCCTGAATGCCGGTCATTTCCGATTTAGTGGCAATTCTAAACAATAATAAATCACTCGGCGTCCGCCACTGGCCCCCCTGCAGCATCATAAAAACCCGCGAGTTTATCGCAGCCACCCATTAGTGAAGATTATGGTAATGAGACTTATAGTAATCATCTGAGCGCGGATTATGGACGCAGAGATCTGGCGGCGATAGATGGCACGTGATTGCTGCGGCCACTGATACCGACAGATCACGTGGCCCATGCCCGATATTTCGCTGGTGGAAAAAATCCGAAGCACAATGACCGGATTAGGGGTGACATCGTGGGAAATCGTCGAGGGATGACGCCGTTTACACGCAATTCGCCACCTCATGCCTGTCGCCTCGGCATAATGGGACTTCTTTTAATCGAATTATGTACAGCGCGTTCGGAAAATATGCTACCCCTTGTGAAAGGCGCAAACTAGGGCGATGCGGCCCTCGCAAATCCAGAAACGCGCCGTTTTCGCCACGAAGGATGTATGAGAAATCACAAATTGTTACTATATTGTTGTTATTATGGTTTCCGTCTAAAATGGTGTCAGAAGTCGGATCGTCAAACCCGGCCTCCCTCGACGCGGCAATTAGCGTTCGATTTGGGTCCATTCGATCGTTTTTCTCACGATTCCGGCGAAAGGGGTGAGTTTGGCGGCGACCCCTGCACATGTTCGCTGAATTCCCGGCTGAAAAGTAAACTTCGTCTCGGTTAATGTTTGCCGGAGGTTTATGAAGATATGCTAAACAGTCTTGAGAGAAGTGTACATTAATAGTCCACCAGATGCTAACTTACGGTTTCGCTTCGGTGGTTAGTTTTGGGGAAAATCATTGTTATTCAGAAAATAGATTAACAGATTTATGCCGGCGTATTTGCACGAGCCCGAAGTGAGTCCCCGTCGACGTTTCCATCTCAATTTCTCTGCCTGCGTTATTTTCTGGAGGAGGTTTTTCGTTTCGTTTTTTGTGTATTATTTAGTTTGAAGCTTCGCGCTCGCTATGCTGTTTTAAATAGTTAAAACGCGATATTTCACGCAACTTTTCGCAAACTTTAAATGCATAAAAGCTGCGGCTAATTGTTATGAATTTATTAGGCTAGATGAAAGTTTGCTCATTTGTTCGGAAGGTGTGGCGAAAACGGTGCTAATTATGCATAGGAAAAACTTTAGGAAACATGTTAATTGTGTTCTAGAGTTGTATGCTGTAAAAGAAGTAAACATGTAACTACATACTTTTTTATTTTTCCTTGTACACAAGAAAATGGTAACTTTTCTGAAGACGATTCTTCGGTTAAAAGAAAATATTGAAGTTCTTCATTCTTAACGTGTCATTCGCTTGTTCATTCGGCAGAATTAAGAACACTCAAGTTAAATTGTAGGTTTTATTGGAACCAATTGAATATATTGTGTATCAATGGAGCATTATTGAAGAATTGGAGGTGACGAGAATATTAATGGATATTCAAGGAGATTTTATAAAATTGTGCTGCCTTAGTTGTTCGAATGCTGAAAATTGCATCAAGCGCAACTGAGAACCATGAAACGTAAATGAGTAGAAAATGTTGCGTTGTCGTTTGAAGATTATTCATTAATTTTTGAATACATAAAAATTGATAAAAATAAGAACAGCACATAATTTAAAAAATTGGTCGAAAGTTGTTTCAATAGGACTTTCCTCGCTCCTGAAGTGTAATCAAATATATTCGGGATTTTCGAGTTGAGTTTTTTTAACAATTTACCCATGCTTACAATAACTTTAAAACGTCTGCATGATTTCAAAGTATTCAGTTTTGCAATTCTTGATTTGTTCAATAAAATAAATTGACTGATTCATTAATTTTTTGAGTGACCCTATATAAGCAAATCTAAAAAATAAAGTTCTTTCCGATAGATCCAGCTCTTTAAAAAAATTATAAAATTTCATTTTACGATTTTCGTTTTGTGATAACCGCTGTAAAATAAAAAACCAGAGGCATAAATAACATTCTTCAGCAGTAGGTAATAGCAATCTGAAGCTCAAGTGTTTATTTATGTATATATACATCGAAAGAATGTCACGTAGAAGTTAGTTTGATTTCAATCAGTTTGTCTTCTCAAACTAAAATTATTAATCAAACCACAATCGAACAAAATGTTCTGAATATTATCATTCTTATTTTATCATTAATAATTCTAGTCACAGCATAAAAGAAAAGTAGTCAGAGCCTTATATCAATGCAAGAAAAAAAAGGAAAGGGCCACTCATTGCGCCACGGAGACGTACAAATTGTGTTGGGAATGAAACGTTATTATACCTTGCAAATGTTTTTACGAAAATTTGAACTTGGCAAAAAAGCCGAAAGTGGATTTGTATGCTACAAGTATATGAGTATATTTTTGTGCAACATTAAAATCATTTTAGAATGCCATTCATTGAAATGACGTCATCAAATTGTTGGTGGGGATGATTAGCAAAATTTTGGCTAGCATTTAACCATCCACATGATATTTTGAATATACGTACAGAATTTGACAACAAACGGTCCAGCAGTTTCGGAGATTACGTGTCTAATAAAAATGGATTCAGACACCAGACAGACAGACAGACAGACGGAAACGGTAGACTACTAATTTCGTACTATAAGGGTCATGAAACGTCGAGAAAATATAAAAATGGCCATTCTGTCGAGAATGTGAAAAAACGCGCGTTTGTATAATAATGATAAAATAAGAATTATAATGGTCATAACATTTTGTTCGATTGTGGTTTAATTAATAATTTTAGTCCTCTGTTTTGAGGAGACAAACTCATTCAAATCAATAGAGAAATATGTACATATTTTGCAATTACGCTCCGCCCTTCGGTCTAACGACGAATGAAAAATTCATCACAAATGAGATCGGGGCGGCTGGGTGGGGCTTAATCTTTGTGGATTTTTTTAATATATAGAATTTTCTGTCAACAACAGGATAGTTAAAGATGTTTTCAGTTTCTTGTTGGGAAAAGAAGACTTCGTATATTAAGAAAAACCACACAAGATTCTTACTCACCGAACAAAGTGTTTTTCACTACCCTTATAAGCCATATCTGATTTTTTATGATTTTATAATTGTGTTCGCGAGCGAAGTCAGTCGTGTTATGAAACTTTTTTTAAAAAGATATTTGAAAAAATTCTGTGCACCCAAATAAACATATTTTATTGTAAGTAAATTTCGATATCGATGGCGTTACTCTGGGCTCCGTTCTTAGTCCGTTGATTTTTCTAATCTATGCAATGACTTTATATCGTGCGATTTTTTTATTTGTGATCTAGTTTTTGCTGCCCATTATGTCACCAAATTACGTAAGTCGTCTCTTAGAACATACAACTTGCTTTGTGGTGAGAGTCTGATTTATTGTAATTTATATATTTATTTCTAACGGAATTTTATGACCGAGTATTTGAGAATATGAAAGAGCGAGTCAATTTATCGAAGTTTGAGGGCAACTCTTCCAACAATTGTTGTAAATGTAATTAAATATGGTAGTTATTATAAACAAGTCATTGTAAATTCAACGAGGATAGACAAAGTTGTTTTATTATTTCAGAGCCACTAGTAGAACCAATTAACGATATGCTATTATTATTATTAAACAAAACAACTGACACCGAGATTCATTTAGTAAACGAAGTATGTTTCATACCCTAGAGAAAAATTTTTGAGCGAGCGAAGCGAGCTGCGTTCAGAAAACATCAACCCATGTGTAAAAAGTAAGACAGTAATCTTGACTGCAGAATAAAATTAAAACCTGTCCCGACCAGCGCTAAGTAGCTGCCGCCGCTGCCGCCCTCCTCCCATGCACTTCATTTTCCATTTCCGTCCCATCTCTTGGAGCCCCGTCGCGCCGCCCCCATCCACTCGCCCATTTTCGACGCCTTTATCGAGAACTCGGCATAAAATCAAATTTATCGCCCGCGAAACGTACCGTCGGAATTAATTTCGTTTATTACTCCGGCGCTTAAAACAGCCACCCACCGCACCGGCGACCGCCCGAACCGGCGGCACTTTTAATTAAAAACACGTCTAATAAACCCGGCTCGTCACGCGTGCCAGCCTTGTGAACCCCCCTTTAGCCTTACCTTGGCGCTCCGATCGACATCAAACCCTACTTCGCGTCCGTCTAAATATTTGACATGACGTATTTGACAGGCGGTGCGACTGTCTTGTGTTATTCATCCCCTCTCCGGCGGAAAATAAGCCGCGAGCTTTCGTGCGCGAAAGCTCGCAAAGCTCGTGACGGCAGCGGCGGCGGCACGACGCGCATTCCGAGTCCGGCGGTCGGCGCGCGAGGACGTGCTGCTGAACCTCCCGAACTCCGCACGCACGTACGCGAACCCGACTATAAGATAAGCAGACGGTGTTATCGCTGTGTTTGTTGACTCGTTCCGTGTTTATCTTGGTTGTGTGGTGTGACGGAAGACGACACCATCGGCGGACAGCGCGACGAAAGCCGTAAGTACAATGTTGGGATTTTCGCGAGGTTGCGGGCACTTCCGGCGGAACCGCCGCAAGGTGCGACCACGTGTTCGCGGCCTCCGCTCCTCCGCGCGACTCTTTCCGGGCCTAATCGAATAAATCACGTCCGCGTGATTGATGTTTCGAGTCCGAGAAATGATTTTCCAATAACGTTTTTGTCTAGAGCGGCAACCCATCCGTAAAATTACTTATTTCTAATCAATTTGGCCGAGACGCAACAACGAAACGAAAAAGTCCGGTGAAAGCGCGCCATTTACATAACGCCGTTGCGTGCGATCGGGGTTCCCCCGGAAAAAATAAATTGCCGATTAAAAATTCACGAGGGCAGTAAAGGCGTCCTTGTAATCCTGGAACGTTTCGCCGTTTCACTATTACAACGTGTTTGTCTGCCCTAGGTTCGTCTGCCATCGGGATAATTGCCTCGGCGTCGTCTTGTTGAAATTGTTTCAATAAAATTAAATTAGATTTAAATTAAGGAGCGCTAATTGATTTTGCGCTGCCGGCTGGCTCGGCGTTGGTTTCTTTTTTGTCTGTCCGACGACGGATTTGATAATTAGAAACAATGGACATGTCGAAAATTGATTGGGTTCGGTTTTTAATTAGGAAAATTTTAAATGGCAATTTAGACGACATTTAAAAACGAGTTCGCCTTTTTTTGAAGATAAGCGATTCCATTAACATTTTAATTTCTTCGTTTAATTATGGGTGTCGAATACAGAACTATGTGTTTTGTGGGGCGTTTTTGTCGGAGTGTTGCTCCAAGTGGAGCGGAATAATTGCTAGAACGAGCCCACAATAATACAAAAAAATTAACACGTTTTGGATATAGTTATTGCTCGATTTGCGTAAGCTGACGGCGAGTTTCCAATTTCTTCAATTGCTTTGACAAGATAATCGACAAGGAATTTTTGTGGAGAAAACATTAAATTAAGCTTGAACAAAAATTATTTTCGATTGCTGCTCTATTGTAATCGTCTTAAATATCATAATCGAACAACAAAAACACCGTTGAACTAGTTTCCGAATGGGGAGACTCCAATTGAAAGCAATTATTGCAAGACCACGGTGTAATATAAGTTATAAATAAGATGGTCGAAAAACTAGTTTCTTGTTTAGTTAAAAAAATAAAAAATATACAGCAAGAAAGTTTGGTTTTTTCACGCATTTGATTAAGGCATGCTTTTCTATCACACGACCGCCACGCAAACTGACTGCGTAATTTCCAAGCCGAGGACAGTAATCATACGAGGAAGAAAAAGTTTAATTTTTTTCGTATAATTTTACATTTATAGAAACACCAATTAATTTTGTCAGTTTTTTAGAAAGTAACTCATTTTATTTGAATAAAGTTGCCTTCAGAAGGGTCGCAATAAATTTACTCATTTTGAGTAGATGAACCATTTTTAAGATAATTATGTCCAGTTTCTTAGATAATTTATGGAATTTGCGTGAAGAAAATAAGATTCGCCGTTTTTGATTTAATAACTATTTATTTCTTCACATATTATTTTTTAAGACATTCTAGAAAGCTGTTCAAAAAATCAGAAGTTTATAAAAAAATAGGTATATATGTAGAAGCAAGTTACGCTCCTCATTTCAAACGAAATTCACGTCGCAAAATTTTGAGATGATGTCATCAAATTTTTGGAAGGAATGAGCAGATGAATTCTGATAGCATGTCTCAGTTTTGTCAAAAATAAGACTTAAAGCAAACCTGAAATGTCTTAACAATCTATTTTGTCTTATCTTGTCTAATAAAATCGCCAATAGACGACAGACCGACGAAACGGAGGAACTACTATTTCGTATTCTATAAGCTACGAAATGTCGATAAAGCATGAAATTATACATCGGTTTATATCTACATTTCGTTTAGAAGCAATCTTTCAAAAATTACGTCTGTAAAACTATGAACTTTTTCGAAAATGTGTAAGATTTGATTTTAACGTGTGTTTTGTAAATTTCTCCTTACAAAATTTTGTGATGAAGAACATGTATATCAATTTGGATAGGTAATATATTCCCAAATTTTCTAGAAGATTGGGTGAGCCATTCTTGGTTTAATCAATAAAATAATTTGTCTCATTCATTAATTTTTTCTATTTTTTTTTTTTTTTTTCTAAATAAGGTATCACACACAACAACCATGAACATTGAAATATCAAAGAAAACGATACATGCACATTATTCTAAGAAACCATTAAATCAGAACAGGAAGCGAAGCGCCCGACGGTCATAATTTACGATTGTTTCTGCTTGTTTGATAATTTGCCTAATTTTTTGGCCACAATATATTTATTAGCGTTTTGTGATTAAAAAACACGAGATTTTCTTAATACGAAAAAAAATTGTTTCAAGATTATTTGCACCACCTGAAGTACAGTTTAACGAATTGAGCTTCTTCGAAAAATTATACAATTAAAATAACCGCTAGAATTTAGAGTGGAGATATTGTATGGACCGCTAAAGTACACGTAAACCAGTCACAGTGTAAGGAAAAAAATGGATATATCGAAGATCAAACCCATGGCCATGTTTCGAACGGTTGGTATAGAAATTATAATAATAACAAACAAAATTAAGGCAAATTCATAAATCACAAGTACAGGAGTATGTTATTTTGTAAAATGTATATAGCGTGTACTCAGCAAAATTTTGCGGGGAGGTCATTAAATAGACATTTTTGGTTAGCGTTTTACGACCATCTACACGATACCCCTAACATGCATATAAAATTTGAGAAAAATCGATCCTGTGGTTTGGGAGATTATCCGTCTAATAAAAATCAAGACAGACGACAGATAGACGGAAATGGGAGACCAATTTTTTCGTAGTCTAGAGGTCATAAAACGTTGAAAAAACGTGAAAGTACCCAGGCGCCTCTTGTATTGTTTAAATTTTGTTGAAATTTTTGCATCACGTATTTTAAAAAATCAATATTTCAGTTATTTATGGAAATTTTGGAACGGGGTTTCCACCACTGTTTTCAGTTTGCAAAACTTTAGAAATCGTACCAGGTTTATTTTTTACTTTATTGTTGGGACTGAGAAATAGTAAAAATAAAAGTTAGCAACTTCTACAATACAAGCTTTTTTTACTGTGTATCATTTCAAACAAAAAAAGTCGTCGATATATCTAGTACGATTTCTGGAGTTTTTTAAGCTGAAAACAGTGTTGAACACTGTGTTCTGAAATTTCCTTTAATAATTGAGATATTGATTTTTAACATTTTTGGGTCATCGTGTATAAGGAAGTATAAAAAATATATGTGCAATCATAAATCACGGGTCTAGACTCATTATATTTTGCGATTTATTCAACAAAAATGAATTAAAAATTAAATTCTAAATATTGTTATACAATTTTGAATCTCGGATAAAATCTAAAAATATGTTATTTTATACAATTTAAAATCCATTTATGAGGTACAATTTTGAGGTGACGTCATCACACTGTTGGTGGGGATAATTCGACAAAGTTTGGTTAGCATTTTACTACCATCCACGTGATATTAAAAATACACATAAAATTTGACAACAATCGGTTCGGTAGGTTCGGAGATTATCTGTTTAACAAAAATCGACATAGACGGCAGACAGACGGACAGACGGACGCGAGATATCTTTTTCGTCAAAAAATCGAAACAAATTAAATTTAAAAATTGGAAAACTTGAAAAGTCAAAAATTTAAAAAGTTGAAAAATTAGAAATTAGAAATATCGAAGAACTGGAAAATCGGATGATCAAAAATTGAAAAATGAAAAATAAATACCGAAAAATTGAAAAATCGAGAAATCGAAACCTCAACGAAATCCAAAAATTCAAAAATCCAAAAATCTGAAATTTAAAAATCGAAAAGTCAAAAAATCGAAAAAATGAGAAATCGAGATATCAGGAAATCGAAAAAATAGCAAAAATTGGAAAATCGGAAAATTGAAGAATCAAAAATTTGAAAAATCGGTACATTGAAAAATTCCAAAACTAAATGACGAAAAATTGGGAAATCCAAACAGTGAAGTATTTATTTAGAAACTGAAACATCGAGGAATCGAAATATCAAAAGATCCAGAAATCAAGAAATCGAAAAATTGAAAAATCGAAATACTCTAAAATCAAAAAGTCGAATAGTAAAAACTGAAAAATTCAAAAATTGCAAAAAATTAATGAATCAAAAATCGAGAAATTCAACAATTAAAAAATCGAAATATCGAAATCTTGATAAATCGAGAAATACAAAATCGAAAGAATTAAGGACTGAAAAATTTAAAACCGAGAAGCCGAAATATCGAAAGACCGAAAAATCGTAGAACTAAAAAATCGAAAAATCGCAACATCCAGAAATTGAGAAATTGAAAAATCTAAAATTTTTAAAATTGAAAAATATTGAAAAATCGAGAAATCCATACATCAAAAAAATCTTCAGTTGAAAAATTAAAAAATCTAATATTTAAAAATCGAAAAATGTAAAAGCGGAAAATTCGAAAAACCGATAAATCGAAAATCCACAATTTTAAAATTGCAAAAATTAAAATATTGGAAATCATTTCAAAATTCTGGAAGACATCAGTAATATGTAGCTTTCAAGTATATACGAAAACTTATTTAATATTCCGGTTAAAACCGACGCGAAAAGCAAGAGTTTAAAAACATCTGAATAAAAAAGTTATTTTGTAATCTTGTCAGAAAAATTAGCAACAAACTGCACGTTCGTGCAACGTGTGAACGATACACGTCAAGCATAGGTCCATTAGTTGAGCGCTGTGTGCCTCTCGCCTTCTCCTTTTAATTTTCTTAATCGACCTCAATTACTTTTATTGTGATTTAATCGCCACAATCACTAGCGCATTCGATAGCCTCGGTGGTCCCGGCCACAATACAAACACCAATTTACTTAATTATTGATGAGCGGTAGTAAAAAAGCGACGTCTCTCTGTGTGTGATAATGTGATTGTTTTGGATCAATGTCCGCGCGTTCTG